ATTTTTGGTTTTTGAGACAGTGTCTCATGTAGTCCAGGTTGATTGTGAAACTCTTTTTGCAGTTGAGAATAACTTTGAACTTCTGATAATCTTTCCTCCACCTCTCAGATGCCAGGGTTACAGGCCTGTCCACCATGCCTAGTTCTATCAGACCCAGAGCTTCACAACTGCTAGGTAAACCCATTAAACTGAACCACACTCTCAGCCCCTGCTGATGGATTTTTATCTCAGTAACTTTTCTAAACCTGAGGACAACTTGACTTATCCAGTTCAATGGATACCTATTAAACACATGTCAGACTACTTGAGAAACACTCAGAATATCTCACTCTCATAAGTTCATGAAGCTTAAATTTCATATGGGGAAAACATGAAAATGGTAAGTCAGCAAATAAAAAGTAGACTGGCTGTAAAGGAGACAGAAAAGCATGATGGGAAAACATAGGTCAAGTCTCACTCTTATTTTTATTAGGGCTGGTGTGTGGGGGTGTACATGCCTTGGCATATGTGCAGAGGTCAGAAGGCAACTTTCTGGAGTCAGTCCCCTCTTCTACTATAGGCTCCTGGGATCTGACACAGCTGTTCAGGCTTGCACTTTTACCCATCTCAGCCGTTTGAGCTTCACTGTAGCAAGCATGTGAGGGAACCTTTAGAGACTGAGATGACCTCATGGAGCTCCCCTTTAATCCTAGCACTCAGGAGGCAGCACAGAGGAAGGTGAGTCTCTGTGAGTTCAAGGCCAGCCTGGTCTACAGAGCAAGTTCCAGGACAGCCTCTAAAACAGTACAGAGAAAAGAAACCCTGTCTTGAAAAACCAAAAATAAATAAATAAACAAACAAACAAATAAATTAATTAATTAATACCAGTTAAGCTAACAGCTGAGAGGAAGGTAAGAGAAGAGGAGAGTAGTGGTTTAGGTAGAGGGTAAACATGTAAAAAGGCCCAGAGACAGAAAAGATCAGTGATGTCTAACATATAGGTTGGTTTGTTTTCCTTTGTTCCAAACACAGTAATGGAGTTTGGTTTGGTTTGGTTTTAGCTTTTTGTTTTTGTTTTTTGTTATTGTTGTTTTGTTTTGTTTGTTTGTTTTTCAAGACAGGGTTTCTCTGTGTAGCTTTGGAGCCTGTCCTGGAACTCGTTCTGTAGACTAGGCTGGCCTTAAGCTCACAAGAGATCCACCTGCCTCTGCCCTCTGAGTGCTGGGATGAAAGGTGTTCACCACCACTGGTTAGCAACAGAGAACATTCTTGCACAGGATTTGGGGTTGTTTTCCTGGACTGAGTGCTCACCATGGATTCTTTGCAGCTCTTTCTGTAGAGTCTGGAGATGTTTCTTCTTCCTGCTCTAGATAGCTTGTTTTTCAGAACTACTTGCTTTTCTGATACTCCACCACACCCCTCAAAATAACCATTTAAGGGCCTGCAAAATAGCTCAGCAGGTAAAAGGCATTTACCACAGAGTCCAACGACCCCAGCTTGCTCTCTGGAACCCACAGAGCGAAAGGAGAGAACTGACTCCTGCAATGTCTTCTCTGGCTTCACATGTGTGCATTCACACAAGTACACATAAAAAATTTAAATTTAATGCAATAAATCAGGGCTGAGATGAGCAGTGTAGGAACACACCTTTAATCCCAGTACTCAGGAGGCAGAGGCAGGTGGTTCCCAGAGTTCGATGCTAACTACAGGGTGAATTCCAGGACACCCAGGGATACACAGAAAAACCCTGTCTTGAAAAAACAAAGTTTCTTATAGAAAAGCTCTGAATGGAGGGCTCAAAGGGTAAGAATGCTTGCTCCCAAACATGAACCTTAGTTCAGATCAAATCACATAAAAACCTGTGAGGAGCTTTAAAAAGTGTTCCGTTCTCAGATTCCCTTTGTGTCTTAACTCTTTCTCCCCACCCCTCTCTCTTGGTTTTTCCAGACAGGGTTTCTCTGTATAGTCTGGCTGTCCTGTAACTCTCACTCTGTAGAACAGGCTGGCCTAGAACGCAGAGATCCTCCTGCCTCTGCCTCTCCAGTGCTGGGATTAAGCATGTGCCACCACCACACAGCCAACTGGTTCTCTTGTGTACACACAACTTGTACAACTTATACATTGATTCACTCAACATTTTCTGGGTATCTGTTTGTTTCAGCCCCTGTGTCCTCAAGGAGCTCAGTCTCGTGTAGTGCTCTTAGGGCAAAATCATCTTGGTATTTGAAATAATGAGATTCCTGGCTTCACGCTTGGTGTACTGAGTCTTCAGGGATGGACTCTAAGTGGACACTTAAAAGTTCCATTTCTGGCCAGGCACTGGTGGTGCACACCTTTACTCTCAGCACTTGGGAGTCACTGACAGGTGGATCTCTGTGAGATCAAGGCCAGCCTGGTCTACAGAGCTAGTTCCTGCCAGGCAGGGCTACACAAAGGAACCCTGTCTCAGAGACCACTTCATAAATAGAACACCAGTAGCACAGGCTCTGAGAGCAACAATTAATAAATTGGACCTCCTGAAACTGAGAAGCTTTTGTAAAGCAAAGAACACAGTCAACAAGACAAATTGCTCGCTACATAATGGGAAAAGATCTTTACCAACCCTACATCTGACACAGGGCTGATCTCCAAAATATACAAAGAACTCAAGGAACTAGAAATCAAACTACCAAATAATCCAATTAAAAAATGGGGTACAGATCTAAACAGAGAATTCTCAACAGAACAATCTCAAATGGCAGAAAGACACTTAAGGAAATGCTCAACATCCTTAATCACCAGGGAAATGCAAATCAAAACAACTTTGAAATAACATTTTACACAGATAAGAATGGCTAAAATCAAAAATACCAATGACAGCTTATGCTGGAGTGGATATGGAGAAAGGGGAACACTCCTCCATTGCTGATGGAGCGCAAACTTGTACAGCTGCTGTGGAAATCAGTATGGCGATTTCTCAGAAAATTAGGGATCAACCTACCTCAAGACTCTGCAATACCACTGTTTGGAATATACCAAAAGAAGTTACATTCACACCACAAGGACATTTGCTCAACTATGTTCATAGCAAGATTATTTGTAATAGGCAGATCTTGGAAACAGCCTAGATGCCCCTCAACTGAAGAATAGATAAAGAAAATGTGTTACATTTACACAATGGAGTACTTACTACTCAGCAATAAGAAACAATGACATCCTAAAATTCACAGGTAAATGGACAGAACTAGAAAAAAACATCCTAAGTGAAGTAACCCAAAGACAGAAAGACAAATATAGTTTGTACTTTATGTCTGGATAGCAGACATAAAGCAAAAGATACCCAACCTACAATTCACAGCCCCAGAGAAGCTTGAGCCCTCTTCCAGAAACAGATGGAAGCAGATGCAGAAATTCACAACTAACCAATGGGCGAAACTCCTGGAGTACAACTGAAGTGAGGAAGGAGCAAAAATATAAACAAAGGAGTCAAGACCATGATCGGGAAACCCACAGAATCAGCTGACCTGAGCTAGTGAGAGATCATTGACTCAGGTCTGACAAATGGGGTGTGGGGACACCAGACCTTGAGCAGAGACCCACTTCCCCTTAGGCCTGGGAGTAGGCAGCTGTAAGACAATGTTTACTAAAAACATGTTTACTAAAAACAATACAATGCCAGGGGCAATAAGTTCCTGAAAAGGGCTGGCCCACGGGAACCACCCTGACCTCGACCTTGTCCCCTTGTCCAAAGACTAACCGCCTCTTCTGACACACCCAAATCAGTTTCTGGTGTCAGAGGAGAACCAGCCAGGGTAGAGGAGAGAGCAGAAGCTTCTCTGGAAGGAGCCCTTCTTAGGAAGTTTTCTTGAACCTTTTTGGGGCCTGCTTAAAATTTTCTTAACATCATTGAACGAGTCTCTGTGTTGTCAATCCCCGACACCCTCCGCACGCAATGGGGAACCTGCATAAGACCAAACTAGACTCCCTTAATATAGGTGACAATGGTGTGACTGGGACAATATATGAGGCAGTGGGTCCAAGACCTAACACTAATGCACAGACTGACTTAGTGGAGCCCATTCTATATGGAGAGACACCTTGCCCAGCCTAGACACAGGGGTGTGAGGGTGGAGAGGCACCTTGGTCCTGCCTCAAGGAGATGATGGGACAGACTTAGTAGACTTCCTAGTGGAGGCCTTACCCTCTCTGTGGAGCAGATGGGGGCGGGGCAGCAGGAGGAGAGGAGGGAGAACTGGGAATGCAATGTAATGTAATGTAAAAAATAAATTAATAAGAAAAACAACAAAAAAGAAACCCTGTCTCAAACAAACAAACCCAAAATCCATTTTTATTGTTGTTTTGTTGTTGTTTGTTTGTCCTCTGTCTTTACTAAAACTAGAGATAACCAGGAATTAGACAAATGGATTTTCAACGCTAAGAAATTGCGTTAATAACGTATGTGCAATATATTATGAAAATAGCTCCCCTTTTACAATGGAAAGTAGTCGTATAGAGGTAGTCATAACTGGACAAACTGTAGCCCTCCTGGTATTTAAACCATTCCAGCAAAGCAATACCGTGTAAAGGCTTGTGGAATACTAAGTATCCCAAACGACACTAAGTTGTTTGCGGATGTTGTGTTGCCTGAGGCTGCGTGGAGGATCCGGAAACATGGAAAGTTGAGACTATGAAGTAGTTGCTCGCCCAGATTTAATCGCTACTAGACCCTCTCCGCTTTGTTGGCGCAACATTGCGCAGGTGCACCTAGCCCTTGGTTTTACGCGTGCGCGTTATTTAATTCTGAAGCCACAGGCGGAAGATGGCGAGCGAGTGTTTGTTCTCCCCCTCAGAAAGTTCAGTGCTAGAATTCAGAGACTGTAGCTGTGTCTAATTTTGGAGAGCGATCGTGTGTCTCATTATAATCCCCCTTTCCTTTTGGGTCTCTCTAGGAAGTCGGCTGCCAGTACCTAACATGGCGAGCGGCCGTGCGTCCGCGCGCTGGTTCCCGGCGCTCGGCCCCGCGGGGCGGCCCCCACGAAAGGGCGGGAGTTTGGGGGGCGGGGCCTGGTCGCCCGACCGAGGGCCGCCCGGGGCCTGGCCTGCGGGGTACTGTGTGGCTTTTGCGGTTGCTGAGGAGCACTTCGGGCTTCCCGGGGACCGAAGGTGGTGAGGTGGGTCTAGGGCAGGCGGGAGGTGCTGAGTGTAACGGTCCGAGGCAGCCCGGGCGCCCGCGGGGATCTCGCCTGGGCAGCGGCTTCCCTTTCCCTGGAGGAGCCCCGGGCCCAGAGAGGGGCTGGGACCCGTCCTAGGGGTCCGGGCTGGCCTGCCTGAGCTTCCAGCTGCAGCCACCGCTCGAGAGAACTTCACACCAGGGCGTCCCGCAGCCGTAGCCAGGGCTGACCTGCTAAGACGCTGCGCTCCCCGCAGGTCTCACTTCGTGCTTCCCCGAGCTTTGCAGCTCCCTGTTACCCTGCGGCTTTGCACGTGATCTGCCCCTTGAAAGTCCTGTCCCAGTCCCGCTGCTCCATCCTCAGATTTTTCATTCTTCAGGATCACGTCTTCACTTCTTGAAAATCTTTCCTGGAGGCCTGCTCCAGCCTCAGCTCATCGCGATTCTTGGTTTTTTGCGATCTTTGCCCAAGTCAGTGTTCTTCCCCTCGCTCATGTTCTGGGCTTGTTTCTTAGAAGTCATGTCCTTTTTCAACTCTATGTCCCATGATGACAGCAGTAACTAATGAAGTTTCTGAAGAGTCGCAAGATGACAGCTCTGCTAAATGCATTATCTGCAAAGACCCCGTTAGTCCACGCAGCGATCTATGATGTGAGCTCCATATGTTCACATTTTATGCATGAAGGGATAAGCACTCATAAATCAAGTTCCACAATGAGTTAGAATCTGCCTATGTATATGATTGATGACTTAACTAGATTGTCTTTGAGTTGCTGTTAGTACATTATTAGCCTGTAAGATACAGAGGCTAGTGTTACAACTCACATTTTTCGAAAAGGGCTTTTTTTTTCTGGGGGGGGGGGGAGTTAATAGGAATTGAACCCAGAGACTTATTCATGCTAGCCAGTGTTCTACCACTGAATTAATCCTGAGCCCTCTTTTTTACTTATTTATTTTAAGATAAGGTCTTACCAGTTTACCAAGGGTGGGTTTGAACTTCTTGTCTTGAAGAAGTTGAGATTTCAGGTTTTGTGTATCCAGGCCAGGCCCTGAGAAGGCTTATGAAGGCAAATTGATGTTACCAAATTGATAATATTCATAGCAAAAAATGTAGACCAGATCCAGGTTGTGCTCCCTATACACCTACACCCGAGTTCTTCCAGGACTGTTCTACCTTATATTTGTTCTTTTTTCCTAGAAAGCCTCGGGCATGGGTGTTACTTCATACCCCATTAGGAAATGTTCCACAGTGCTGTGTTTTTATAGTTTCTGATTTTGACAGCTAATGAGATGAGCATAGAATTTGGAATCATAATAGAATTTGGTTTCTACTTTGCCACTGACTAGTTGTGCATGTTTTTTTAAAGTGCTATGACAGAGCGATGGTGGCGCACGCCTTTAATCCTAGCACTTGGAAGGCAGAGGCGGGCAGATCTCTGTGAGTTCTAGGCCAGCCTGGTCTACAAAGCTACACAGAAAAACCCTGTCTCGAAAAACAAAAACAAAAAAGTGTGTGTGAGTGTGTGAGAGTGTGTGTGTATGTGTGTGTGTGAGTGTGTATGTGAGTGAGTGTGAGTGTGAGAGTGTGTGTATGTGAGTGAGTATATATGTGTGTGTGTGTGTGTATGTGAGTGAGTGCGCTCGTGTGTATGTGTGTGTGAGTGTGTGTATGTGAGTGTGTATGTGTGTGTATGTGAGTGAGTGTGTGTGAGTGTGTGTCAGTGTGTGACTATGTGTGGTGGAGCTGTACCATGGTGTACCTATGGAGGCGAGAAGACGATTCTGTGGAGTTGGTGCTTGCCCTCCACCTTCTTGTGGGTCACACTCCAATCATCAGGCCGCTCTTTACTTGCTGAGCAATGCTCCCGTTTCCCCTTCCATTTGAAAGATATTTATTTTTAATTGCACATGAATGCAGGACTGAATTTGGATCCTCTGCAAGAGCAATATGGGCTACTAACCAAAGCATCATCTCCTCACACTTCCTATTTTGTTTTGTTTTTTTGCTTTTGTCTTTTTTTTTGTTTTGTTTTTGTTTTTTGAGACACAGTCTCTTTATGTAGTCCTGGTTGTCCTAAAACTCACACTGTAGACCAGACCTCTAACTCAGATCTACCTCCTTCTGCCTCCCAAGTGCTGGGACTCAAGCCATGGGCCACGATGCCCAGTCACACTAACATTTTTTTAAATACTAGTTTTCCTTGTTCTATTTTCTTCTTTAGGATTTTATTTATTTTGATTTCATATGTATGAGTCCTTTGCCTACATGTATGTATGTGCGCCATCTGTGTGCCCGCTGCCGTCAGAAGTCAGAAGAGGAACTAGAGTCGCAGATGGTTGTGAGTCACTATGTGGTTGCTGAGAACTGAACCCAGCTCTTCTGCAAGAACAAGTGTTCCTAACCATGGAGCCCTGATTGTAAAATGAGGACAGTAATTTTTGTTTTGTTGCTTTGTTTTTTGTCTTTCGAGACAAGGTTTCTCTATGTCACAGCCCTGGCTGTCCTGGAACTCATCTTGCAGACCAGGCTGGCCGCAGACTCACAGAGATCCTCTTGCCTCTCCTCCCAAGTGCTGGGATTAAAGGCGTGAGCCAACACTGCCCAGTTGAGACAGTAACCCTAATACCGCTAAGGTTTTTTGTGTTTGTATTTTTTTGACAATGAAGGTTGCAACTGATTATTGTAAGAGTAAAACACTGTACACATTGTACATGATCTTACTTTTGCTTTAGGAACGGTTATGGAACTACCAACATTTTGTAAAGCTATTGGTGATTATAAGGGTCATGTTATTTATTGTAAGACAGGCACTGGATTCACATGTTCTCGGCCAGCCTGAGCTACCGGAGCAGGAAACCGTCTCAAACAAACAAAACCAGTGCTTTTGTACTGGTGGGATTTACATTTTGGTAAGTTGTTACACATAATAATTAGAGGCAGATAGACATGGTTAGTAGAAATGCCAGTGTGTATGTCTAGGAGTAGTGGTACTTTACCTAGTACAACTTACCAAAAAGGTGACCGTTGATCAGAAACCTGGTTAGAACAAATCATGTGGATAACAAACGAGTGTGGCTCCTGCCGTGTTCTAAGTACACGTGAGGATGGCTGACTGTGACTGGAGGAGTGGCAAAGGGGAGATGAAATAGGATTTATTCATTTGACTAAGATGGTCAATTAGGACTCTATGCATGATTATAAAGATTTCCTTTAACTGTAGTTGGCTGTTATCTAGGGTGTGGGGGCTTTGTGTTTTGAGACACAGTCTCTGAAGAAGCTCATGCTGCCTTCAAACTTACTGTGTAGCCCATGGAAGACTAACTTATAGCAATCCTTCTGCCCCAGTCTCACAAGTGTCAGGATTTTAGGCATGTCCCACCATGACTGGCTATTTATGGTGTGTGTGTGTGTGTGTGTGTGTGTGTGTGTGTGTGTGTGTGTGTGTGTGTGTGTGCGCGCGCCCACGCGCGTGTGCTGCGGTTCTCGAGTAAAGGTTAAAAGACAACTTTTATGAGGCAATTCTCTTCTCCACTCTGGGTTCTGTGGACTGAACTGAGGCTGTCAGGATGGCAGCAAGAACTCTTACTCCCTGAGCCACCTAATCAGCCCTGTTTTATGTTTTAAAAGGATCCTCTAACTATTGTGTTGAGAAAACAAAACAAAACAGAATTTAGAAGGTATCACCAGCATCTAGGAAGCTTGAGCAATGTTCCAGTTATATTGCTGTACAAGGAATCCTCCCAGGTTAGTATTGAACAGCAGTTGTTAATTACCACACACAGTCACTGTGCGTCAGAAATTTGGAGCAGATTAGCTGCTGCTTCTGGCTTAGAGGCACAGGCAAGGCTGACAGTGATCTGAAGGTTTTCACCAGGGGCTGGGAGATCTGTTTCCAAGATGGCTCACTCACAAGGCTGTTGGCAGAAGTCCCAATGCTTTCTCCTGAGCCTCCTCCCTGACACTTGTGTGTCCTCAGGACAGAGCAGGTATTTCTCCAGAGAGATTGCTCAAAGAGAGTAAGCAAGCAACAAGCCATAGTACCTTCTGTGACCTTTTCTCAGAAGGCATTTAGTTGTTGTTTTGTCTTTTTGTTTTTGTTTTTGTTTTTTTTCAGACAGGGTGTCTCTGTGGCTTTGGAGGCTGTCCTGGAACTAGCTCTTGTAGATCAGACTGGTCTCGAATTACAGAGATCTGCCTGCCTCTGCCTCCTGAGTGCTGGGATTAAAGGCGTGCGCCACCACTGCCCAGCTGGCTCTCTTTAATTTTTGTTGTTGTTGGTGGTGGTGGTGGTGATGATAGTAGTTTGGTGTTTGTTTTTTTTTTTTTTCTGTACTTGTTTTATGTGTATGCTGTGTGGGCGGGGCCAGTGATTAATGCTGGGTGTCTCCGTTAATCTCTTTCCACCTTATATGTTGAGTAAGGGTCTTGCACTTGCACGTACAACTCACTAATTTGGCTAGTGGTGATAGTCATCTGTGTTACTTAGGAAATGAGTGTAAAGAGAGATTTAAGGCTGAGCCGTAGAGCCCATAGTCTTCAGATGCTGGAGAGGCAGGAGACCTTGGGCAGCACAAATTATAATTGTCTTAATAATAAACCCCCCAGTCAGATATGGGGGGGGGGCTGAAAGATCAGAGAAGCAAAGCAGCTAAGCACTAGCTCTTACCTCTACCTCAGGTCGCATCCTCAGATTGCTTGAGATTGACTGCTGCTCAGACTGCCACGGCTCAAGCCGCATCTCTTTCCTGTCTCCTCCCGCCTTACATTCCTCTCTCCGCCCAGCCATATCACTCCTGTCTCCACCTCCTTAGTGCTGGGATTAAAGGCTGAGATCCCAAGTGCTGAGATATCTTTGTGTGAGCTCTGTTTCTCTTTTACACTGGATCATTTTCATGTAGCCCAGGGTGGCCTTGAACTAACAGAGATCTGTCTGCCTCTGTCTCCCAAGTGCTGGGATTAAAGGTGTGTACCATCCCTGCCTGGCCTCTATGGCTAACGAGTGTGTCTAGATTTATACTCTCATCTTCAGGCAAGCTTTATTTATTAGATCATAAACAAAATGTCACCATGACTGCCTTGTTGGTTAGTGGGTAGCCTGATTATTCAGAAGAGCCAGAAAGGCACATTTGCATGTGATTTCATGAATGTTGGCATCTATTTTTGAATTCTTAAAATTGTTATGGTACAGTTAAACATACCTGTAATCACAACACTTGGGAGGTAGAGGCAGGAGCCTCAGGAATTTTAAGTCATTTTAACTATATACAAGTCCCAGGCCAGCCTGGGCTATATGAAACCTTATCTGAAAAAAAGAAAGAACCTGCAGGCCACTGAATTTATAACCTTTGGGCTAAGGTTGAGGTCTGTTAGGAGTAGAGCCCACACATGTCTCTTTGGTATGGCTGAAAATTTGCTAGTGACTAAAATGAATTACACATCTCTTGCCTTGAGGCACTCACGCATTGGTAGCAAAGACAGACAAATGCTGATGGTAAAATGTAATGTAGACGACGGTGGTGAACACCTTTAATCCCAATACTTGGGAGGCAGAGACAGGTGGATCTCAAAGTTCGAGGCCAGCCTGGTCTACATAGTGAGTTCTAGGACAGTCAGGACTACTCAGAGAAACCCTGTCTCAAAAAAAAGCATTAGAATACATATTTTTGAATATAGGTGAATGTATTAAATGTGAGCAAGAGACTGCTTGTGTGTGTGTGCACACATACACACATACACATATATAGCTAAAAATTTGACTTCAATGCTTCATCTGGGTGGGCAGGATAGGAGGTAGACTAAGTCATGATATAGATTGTATCTTGGCATATGAAAAGGATTTGGAGTTCTAGAAACTTCTATTTGTACACATGCCATATTGTATTTAATTGTTGTGTCATTGCCTCTACCAAGCTGACAGCACCTTCTAGATTCATTTCACAGGTTGCTGAGTCATGTGCGGGGGGGGGTGTGATATATATATATGGATGTGGGGCATGGGGGAGTGTAATGGTGGCAGAGCTGGGGTTCTTAGTTTAATGCTAGATGCCAGAGAGAGAGAGGAGCAGTGGCAGAGCTGGGGTTCTAGTTTTAATGCAGGGTCCCAAAGGCATACCTAGAAGCAGGAGTCCTATGACAGTGCTCATCATAGCTCCTTTTAGAGATTAGGGTCCATCCTAGTCTTCTAAAAGTTCTGAAGAGATTGGAGAGATGGCTCATTGGTTAAGAGCACTTGCTGTTCTTGCAGAGGATACAGGTTTATTTCCTAGTACCCAATTGGTAGTTCACAACTGTCTGTAACTTCTGTTCCTGGGTATTCAATGTCCTTTTTGGCTTCTTCAGGTACCAAGCACACACATGATGCATATACATGCATTCTGGCAAACACTCATATACATAAAAGTAAATATATACTTGAAAAGAAAGTTCTAGTCAGTCTGTGGTGGCGAATGCCTTTAATCTCAGCACTCGGGAGGGAAGCAAAGGCAAGTAGGTCTCTGTGAGTTCAAGACCAGCCTGGTCTACAGATCAAGTTCCAGGACAGGCTCTAAAGCTGCACGGCAAAACCCTGTCTCAAACAAACAAACAAACAAACAGGTTCCTGTAATAAAGGAACCTATTTACTTCATTCAGCCAGTTTCATTCCACTTAATAAACATTTGCTGAGTAAATTTGAGAAACCTAGCCTTTTCAATTTTGTTATATTTTAGTCCCTAGCTCAAGAAGAGGTCTAAGCGCATAGATCAATGGTCAGATATCCTGCTGCAAGCAACCTGTAGCTACCCGGGAACTGTGGATTTGCTCTTTGATGCTCCATGGAGACAGGAAGCCCTGGGCTGAACATGAAGCCCAAGTCATTGCAGCTAGTGCTGGAGGAACAGGTCCTGGCACTGCAGCAGCAGATGGCAGAGAACCAGGCTGCCTCTTGGCAGAAGCTGAAGAACTCCCAAGAGGCCCAGAAGAGGCAAGCAACCCTTGTGAGAAAGCTGCAGGCCAAGGTGAGCAGATGCCCCTTTGAGAAGGGACCCCCCCCCCACCCCAGAGTTGAGTGCTGGAGTGGGATAAGGCTGGATAAGCGAGAGACCATGTAGGGGAATAGACCAAACTCCTGGTGAGGATGGCTCAACCACAGCTTCTCCTTTGATGGTTACAACTGCTCCATGAAGTGTGGATTATGTCCCTTCCAAATGTGACATTCACAATAGTTAAATTTCTGTCTAGGTTTGCTCTCTTAGTCTAGAGCAGTGGTTCTCAACCTTCTTAATGCCACAACCCTTTAATAAAGTTGTTCATGTTGTGGTGACCCCAACCATAAAATTATTTTCAATGTTACTTCATAACTGTAATTTTGCTGCTGTTATGAATCATAATGTAAATATTTGTGTCTTCTGATGGTCTTAGGGACCCTCTGTGAAAGGGTTGTTCCATTCTCCCAAGGGGTCATGACCCTCAGAATGAGAACTGCTAGTCTATAACTAAGCCCAAACCCAATACACAAAGCACGTGTGTGTGTGTGTGTGTGTGTGTGTGTGTGTGCGTGTGTGCGTGTGTGTTCAGTGTACATAGGGAAACCAGAGGTCAATGTTGAGTATCCTCTATCATTCTTCACCCTATTTTTTAAGTTTTATTTTGTGTATTGTGTGCCTATGTCTATGTAAGTGTGTATTGTGTGTCAGTGCTCTGGAGGGCAGCTGGAGTTATAAGCAGCTGTGAGCCGTGCTGGGTGTTGGGAACTGAATTTGGGTCCTCTGGAAGAACAGCAGGCTTTTTTTTTTTGTTTTTTTTGTTTTTTTTGTTTTGTTTTACGAGTCAGGGTTTCTCTGTATTGTTTTGTTTTGGAGGCTGTCGGTCCAGCCTGGCCTCGAACTCACAGAGATCCGCCTGCCTCTGCTGGGATTAAAGGCGTGCGCCACCACCGCTAGAACAGCAGGCTTTTAAGCTGAAGGTGTCTTCAGCCTCCACCACATTGATTTTGGGACAGGTCTCACTAAACTGGAACTCATCAATTTGGTAGACTCGCCAGCAGGGAGCGCCAGTGATCTGCTGCCCTGCTTCTTTAGGACTGGGATGGTGGCTTTTTACGCTGGGATCTGAACTTGGGTCTTGATGTTTAAACAGTAAACATTTTACTCTTTTTGTATTTGTTTTTTGAGATAGGGTTTCTTTGTGTAGCCTTGGCTGTCCTAGAATTCACTATGTAGATCAGACTAGCTTCAAACTCAGAGTTCCACTTGCTTCTGCCTCCCGAGATGGGATTAAAGGCATGCACCACCACCAACAGGCATGTTTTAGTTACCAAGCTATCTTACCAGCCCCTTGGGAATCTTGATTTAAAAAAAAAAACCTTGTGTAAGTGTGGGAGTGCAAGCATGCATGTACCTTATACATGTAGAGGTCAGGGGACAATCTCAGGTGTCCACCATGCCTCCCCTGTTTTAGATAGGGTCTCTCTTTGTTTGCCACAGTGTGCCTCAGGTGAGCTAGTCAGTGAGCTTTTGGATGCTCCTGTCTCTGCCTCCTGTCTTGCCATAGGAGTGCCGAACTGTAGACACACACTACCACCTATGGCTGTACTTGTTCTGGGGATCTGAATTCAGGTCCTAATGCTTGCACAGCAAGTGCTTTCCCCTGAGCCATCTCCCCAGAAAGTGTTATGCAAACACCCAGATAGAACCTCTTAAGATGCTGTGGCCCTACTTCACCGTCACCACCCGCTTCCCATGTTCACAGCAGATTTGCCCAAGATCCCTGGAGCCTTTGGTTTGTGTTGTTTATGGGAGCTACAGCTGTGCTCAGGGTCTGCTCTCTTTGCTTTAGGTTTTACAGTACCGGAGCTGGTGCCAAGAGCTGGAGAAGCGGCTAGAAGCTACTGGAGTAAGTGAGATTGAGTTCCGGACTTCCTCTGAGCCCTTAAAGTATACTTGCTTGGCTTTATATGCTGCCAAGGAAGGCGGGGGTTATACAGGATGTTTGGTAGGTGTTCCTCTGTCTTCAGCTCCAAAGAGCTGCCAGTAACCAATAAGGTCTTCTAGAGATCGTTGGCCTGAGAGATTCCATCCCATGGTTTCCCATTTATTAATGCAGGTTCTGGGAACTTAGCATAGTGGAATGGCATGTGACACTGGAGGGAAAATTCATTTTTCATCCAGCAGGTGTCAGTGTTTACACATCAGGAAGATGTGCACCTCTGCTTGCCCATAAGCATGCCTGCAGTAGAGGGATGTTTTTATTGCCTGGGGAGGACTGGCTTTGAAAGACCCTTTTGTCATTCTTCAATTCCTCCTCATTCCCTCAGAAAAGTTCTCAGAAGAAGGAAAGAACCAGAATGGTTGAGCACCTTCTGTGCAGGCCAGGGCACCCTTAGGTGTTTGTACCATTTTGTCAGTCAAGTGCAAACTCTCTGAGAAGGATGACAGCCACCTTGGTTTGTGGTCTGGAGATGATGAGTGACTTCCTGAGGTCCCAAATTAGTGTGACAGAAGATAGGGCCCTAGTCAAAGATGCAGCTTGCATTCCTCAGGCCGTCTTTTAGGGGAATTGATTGGTTCACTTTTGGAGAAAGGAGTGCAGTGGGTTTGCTTTCATGACAGTGACCGAGAAAAGAAGCACATTGTTCCCAAGAGAAAGAATGAGAAAGAAAGTGGCTGCTGCTGAAGGCGGCATCAGGGAATTGTCCTGGGTGATGTTTCTGTGCGGTATGATAAGGCCTGTCTCTGTCTCAAGGGGCTGATCCCTCAGCGGTGGGAAGGTGCAGAAGAGCCAACCCTGGAACAGCTGCTGGTCCGATTGGAGGAGGAGCAGCAGAGGTGATGGACCCCAGCTTTCCTGATCTGAGTGATCGTGCAGAGGGAAAGGCTGGTGGGAAACTTCTGCTCCAGAGTGAACGTGTGGGTGGAAAAGTGCTGGGCATGGCGGTTCACATGGGTAACATGAGGCAGGCAGAAAGCAAAATGAGAGGGAGGGAGGTGCCTCTTGGAATCTTGTGTCCTGATGATGGAAAGTTCCATTCACTGCCTTACTCCCCAGACCTTTATTCTGCACTTGTTCCTACTGGTTCCCAGTGCAGGTGCGAGAGTCTAGTGGAGGTGAACACGGAGCTTCGACTGCACATGGAGAAAGCTGATGTGGTGAACAAAGCCCTTCAGGAAGATGTGGAAAAATTGACAGTGGACTGGAGTCGGGCCCGGGATGAGTTAACGAGGAAGGAGAGCCAGTGGCGGATGGAGCAGGAGGTGTGGAGAACAAGAGTAGAGTGTGCACTTTGGGTGCTGACTGGGCAGTGCTGGAAAGGGTTAACTCTTGGACCTGGGTGGAAACTGATCTGTCATTGTTCCAGCCTCTGATTAGCCCTGCCCAAGGTGACAGCTGTGCCCTGTTTCAGCTTTCTTCCTAGTTCTGCCTAGTCTAGGCTTTGCTGACAGGCAGCGTAACACTCAACTCCTGCAAAAGAGACTAGCCAAAGTTTCAGGTGTATCCAAAAATTTACTGTTTGCCTTCTTCTGAAGGTCTGCATAGCTAGATGCTAAGAAGGTAGCTGCTGGATTAAATGGAGGAGAAAATGTTATAGGCCCTGGGAAATTTTACACTCACAGCTATAGACAGTAAATGTTTGTTGAACCTTTGCTGGGTGCTGGGTCTGGGTGATTTACGTGTATTATAAGATCACCTAATTCTCCCGTCTACAGTAATAACTCCCATTTGCTAAGCAGCCACTGCATGTCCTTTTCTGATCTAGCCAAGTCGAAGGCCACTTTCTACCCAGGGCTCTTTGACCTTTTGAACCTCACTGCCAACTTTATTAAGCCCCTCAATATAACCTGAATATAGGCACCCAACCATAAGCTATCTCCTCGAAGTCCTTCCTCCCTTCACCCTCACCCAGCAGCCATGAGGCATCCAGGACTCTTGTGTTGCTGCAAGGTCTCCGGCCCTTGGGTGTGACTTGGGTTTCTGAACACAGTTCTTCAAGGGCTATTTGAAAGGTGAACATGGCCGTCTGCTCAATCTGTGGCGTGAGGTAGTGACCTTCCGACGTCACTTCCTGAAAATGAAGTCAGCTACTGACAGGTCAGTGTGGGGAGGAGAAGAGAGGTTTGCCCCGCTGATCTGGGTTAAGGCAGCAGACTCTGGGAAGAGGCACTGGGGGCCGTGGGCATGGGCTAGATACAGATTCTCTCCGACCTGAGAGCCTATGACCAAGCTCTCTACCTTGGTTCCTTGGAGTTTTCAATCTTCCTTCCTGTGCTCAGAGATCTGACAGAGCTAAAGGCTGAACACGCCAGGCTTTCGGGGTCCCTGCTGACCTGTTGTCTGCGCTTGACCGTGAGAGCACAGGCTCGTGAATCCAGTGGATCTGGGAGAACAGAGGAGAGTGAGCCCGCCCGGCTGCTGCTGCTAGTAGCTAAGGCCCAGGCGCTGGAGAAGGAAGCCCATGAAAAGAGCCAGGAATTAATACAGCTGAAGAGTCAAGGGGATCTGGAGAAGGCTGAGCTGCAGGACCGGTGAGGTGCCACGTGGTCCCGGGAGGAATGTAGTAAGAGAAAGCTGACTCCCCTAGACGGTTGTCGGCGGGCAGAAAAGATGTCAAGAACACCGCCACCCTGGGAGGGGAGGGATGTGACCTCTGAGTCCACTTAGGAACCCAGTGTCTCTGTTGGGGTCTGTCACTGTCCCTCTGGCTGCTTTGCAACTCAGTCTCTCTCCTGATAGTTTGTGTTGCTAGCTGTCCTCTCTCTCCTCTCAGCCATGCTCTTCCACACTTCTGTCTTCGTGTGTGCCAGCCATAGCCTCCCTTTAAGGTAGAGTTCACACGCCACCTCTTCTGAGAGTTGTCTCACTTTAACAGCTTATGGTCCTGTGAGTGTTTTGACCTGCTTGTTACAGCACTAATCTTCCTGTATCTCTTTAATTACTTTGTTTCTTTGTATCTCTCCCTGGGTTAGACTTGTTTGTTTTTGCTGTGATGGGGATTGAACTCAGGACCTTGCATATGCTACTCAAACATTCTACCATTGAGCTATACCCCGCCTTGGCTTTGTTAACTTTTGGATTATAATAAAATGGGATTTTTAAAATAATGAGAAGGGAAGACATGAGCTGAGTACCACTGATTATCAAGGCAAACTTGGAGTCTTCAATCTGTGTCGTGGCTAGGGTTCTGTTCTTTCCTGTTGGTAGTATACGTAAGTTGGGGACTATTTTGTTTTCTTTTTGCTTTTGGAAACTTTAAGAACAAAGATCATATCTTAATAGGTTTGTATCTTTAGTGTTTCATGCTTTATTTCTTATATAATAGGTAATTATTATTTGTTGAATAATACAATATTTAAATAAAAGACAATACAGTGATCCCCAGAGGTGATTTGTAATAAAATTATTAAGGCTTAAATTTTTCTTTTAGCCAGGTGTGGTAGTCATCACTTTTGTTGTTGTTTTTGTTTTCAAGACGTCTGGTAGTTGTCATTTTTACTCCCAGCTCTTTGGAGTTATAAAAGGCTTGAATTCTGTGAGTTCAAGGTCAGCCTGGTCTACACAGCAAGTTCTAGGTCAGACAGGGCTATATAGAGAGAGCTTGCCTCAAAAATAAATAAACAAATGAGTGAGTGAATGAATGAATAAATAAATAAATATTTTTCTTAGGTAACATTAATTTAAGAAATAACTTGTTAGGCAAGTGTCATGGCTCATGCCCATGATCCTATTACTCAGGAGGCTGAGGCAGGAGGATTTCTAGTTCAAGGTCATCCTGGACTACATAGAGAATTTCAGGCAAGACTAGGCTACATAATCAGATGCTGTCACCAAAAAAACAGAAGAAGAAAACCATGTGTGTAGTACTACTCACAAAGCTGAGATACGCTGTTAAATGGATGATACAGCTGTTGGTGATTTTGCTTGGCATCATTAGCTGTATTGTTTCCCAAGTCACTTGTCCTTTTTCCCTATCAGAGTCAAACCTTGGGCTGGAGGGACCTTGGGACTGTCCCCTTGGTGGCAATTCTGATGTTCTTATTGGCTTCAGGGTGCTTAACGTCACAATCAAGCGAGGCCTGGAAGGGTCTGGGCCAGGGCTTTCCTTCAGCTCTCGGGCCCACAAACCCACGTTCCAGTCTTGAGATGTGGTAAATCCCTGCATGTGTCTGAGTGGCTTTTGGCTTTTCCTACCAGATCAAAAATATAGAATCACATGTGATTCAGAGAGTGCAAAGGACTGGGCATACCCAAGGGATTCTGTGGGCTGCAGTGGGGGTGTCCGTTTGGGGGCCCAGGTGTGCTTTTGGTGGCTCCGTCACCATCCTGGGGCTGTCCAGGAAATAGTGCTGTGCTTTCTTCCTTAGAGTGACAGAGCTCTCTGCTTTGCTGACCCAGTCTCAGAAGCAAAATGAAGATTATGAGAAGATGGTAAAGGCTCTAAGAGAAACAGTGGAGATGCTGGTATGTGAGCCTCTGTGTTGCAAAGGAGCTCAGAGTGGGTTGACAAGTTCCTTGTTCTTTGTGGACACGTTGTGAATGATGCTATTTAAATGATCCTTGATGAAATCCTCCAAAGCTGAAAAGTAAACTTTGACTGAATCTGAAAATTACTTAACTCATTCATTTACCTGTTCAATAAAATAGTAACTGCCTGTTACAATAACTTCCCACCAGCCTGGTCCCAGTGCTGCTTCAACACCAAATAGCACGGGAGACACTGTATTAATTATAAGTTGTTGGCCGGTGCCTAGGATTTCTTATAGGCTAGCTCTGTCTTAAGTATTAACCCATAGCTACTAATATATGTATTTCTAAAAGGACTTACCTTACTGAGAACACCAGACTCATGCATTCTCTCCTTCCAGAATCACATGACAACTTCTCTTACTACACTTCCCAGAATCCTTCTTGTCTCCTAGTCCCACCTGTGTTACTTCCCTTTTGGCCAACAGTGTTTTATTCATCAACCAATAAGAGAAACATATGTACAGAAAACTTCCCCCATCATCTCCTCTTTTCTGTCTAAATAAAAAGAAAGGTTTTAACTTTAACATTGTCAAGTTATATATAGCAAAATAGTTATTAAGCAAGAACTAATTACAGTATTTAGTCCAATAACATTTAGCAATATTTAAGGAAAATATTTTATCTATCCTATCTTTGTGAGTCTAAAGTCTTATATTATCTTTAATCATAACTAAGGAAAACTATAACCATAACTATCTGTCTTCAACTCCATCAAAGACGACAGAAGGATAATATATAAACTCTAGAATTGACAGAGACAACTCGCTGTCTGGTCAGTCACCCGAAGTTCTTCTGTAATGTTCCATCTTTAGCCCATAGGTCATAGTGTGTCTGGAAGACTCCTCAGCAAAGCAGTAAATTTTAAACTGTCAGCCTGTATTGGCAGTTTGTCAGTCACTTTTCTCTGTGTTCTGTAGGATGTCTGACAGACTTTTCCATGAGGCAGGAACCCTATAGCAATGTCCATCTTGTTTCAGCAGTCACTTTCCTGTGGTTATACAAGTCCATTTTATATAGCATAAAGTCAAGCAGTCCAGAGAAGAGCAGTTTCTTGTCCAAATGGTAGTCTTGCCATATTGGAAGCAAACCCCATAAGGAGTTTCTTCGATGTCCATCTTCCCTTCTGACACAGCTGGTATTGTCAGGAGTAATTGTCTGGGTAGCCTGTTGTTTCTGTCTTCACTGCACCTTTGGAAGCTGCTCGCCTGCACTTCCTGCCTATCCTAGTATGTTTTCCTCCTTCTCAGGTCTTTGATGAGGTTGAACATTAGACTGTCACAATTATGTTCTCTCTCCCTAGATATAAATATTAGATACAAGACTTAAGATTTCCAGCCTAGGACAACTCTATAGTCATCTCTGTTATGCCTCTACAATAGGACCGGATATGTAGTTCTTGTCTGTTGCTCTAGTTGCTTTACTGGCAATTGGTCTTAAGTGTGTGTTCTTATTTTCCTTCTCCTAGAGCACACTTGATATTTGCTATCTTTGTATATAGTTTTGTATCAAGTCTAAATCTTTTCTTTAGACTAAAAGGGGAATTGTGGTGAGATATCCACCCTGCCCGCACCTGTAGCGCTAACCACACCCACTTGGGCGTGGTCACAGGTGAGGACTTGATGGGGAGTGTTTAGGTATGGGGTCGGGCAGGCGGCTCTGTCTTGCATCAGGTCAGGTCACAGAGTTCAGCCTGTGCGGATCCTTAGAGTGGGAACCTGTGGTGGCCATCTGCTTCTTATGTAAGTGGCTTCTCCCTGAAATAAATTACATTTAACCTATTTTTGAACTTAGTCCTGTGTACCATTATCTGTGCCTCTGCATCTGCCCACTATCCTGACTATATTCCTGGAGAAATTACAATGACATATATATGTGAAATGTGTCCTTGTCTGAGAGAGGAGACTTGTCATAGTGAATTTCAGGCCAGTGTGAGCTGCATGAGACACCAAGCCAAACAGTGAGCACTGTATGGGGAGGAATCTAAAAGCCAAGTCACATGGGGACAGCTGAGGGGCATGGCAGTGCTTAGCCTGGCGCAGAAAGAGTGTGAGGAAGATAGGCTAGCTGCCTGGACATCTCTGACAGTAGAATTGATGGGGAAAGCCAGTTGACCGGTTTAATGTTTTCCAGGGTGGAGCCGTCACCAGTGGTAGAAGTCATAGATAAGGTAGTAAGTTTTGACTACAGCTGGAGCTGTCGCTTGAACAGTGCGTGTTTTATGAAAGAGTGAGGTTGTGCTCACTGATTTAAACACCTGTCAGGGATGTCAAAGAAGTGATTTTCCAAGATAGGATGCCGCTATCCCTGGCTGACTCCATGTTTCCTTTCATCTTAGCACGTTTTCTGATCATAGACCTTTGGCAGCTCCAGAACCCCTATCCACATGTGTACGCCTAGTCTCATCTGTGTTGGAGTCCACTAGGAAGCAATTCACAGGGCTCAAGTAAATTAATCAATCATGTTGCATTGCAAAGAATTCTGGTTTTCCAGGGCTGTCATAGTGTTCACTGCTATAGAACAAGAACTTTAATCTAGGCTGTCTTTTAGGTTTTTAACCATTTTATTCTGACCCTTCTATTGCCATATTACATTGTTTTCAGAGCCCTTGGGAGAGTATGGTTGACAGAATAGACAGAATTTGTCTTTGAATGACTTGGGGACAAGAATGATGAATTCTCTTTTGAGTGTTTGGCTCTTAGGCTCTATTCTGTCCTTCCAGGAGACAAACCATGCAGAGTTAATGGAACATGAGGTGTCTCTCAGTAGGAGCGCTCAAGAGGAAAAGTTGTCTCTGCAGCATGTGATCAAGGATATAGCCCAGGCGCTGGTAAGCCTCTTGTCCAGTAACTGGACAGTGTCCCCTCTTCTTTGTATCCTCTTAGTGGCCTCAACTTGTAGACTGAGGTCTGGGCTAAGGGTCGGGTGAGGGTAAGTTCTCTCAGTGTGCTTGAAGAGGGGTAGGTAAGCATTCATGTTCTAGCACTGTGCAGTGGATAGGTCCTCTATCTTGTTGTTTGCCATGGCTCTTAGGCCATAGGCTGAATTATGTCTTTGTCATTGCAATAGCATTTTCTTCCCCTTCCCCCTCATTTATTGCCCCAGAGAGTATTCTAGCCTTAATGCTAACTATTCTTAGATGACCAAACATGAAAAGTTGAAGGGACCAGTCATTTTTTGCCCTTACTTTCCCATCCCGGCCCTGGCCCAGGGGTAGGACTTGAAAAGGAAACCTTAGTTCCTCTGTTCTGTAGTGCAAGTCTCTCGATGACAACTGGGTTGCATTTCAGACCTCAGTGGAAGAAGAGGACACTGTGACTCACAGCTCAGATCATGAGAGCTCATTGCAGTTGGGCAGTAGTGGCTTCTCCCCATTTGATCCTCAGAACCCAGACAAGGCTCTTACTCTGGTGCGTTCAGTGTTGACTCGGAAACAGCAGGCTGTGCAGGTGAGAAAGCCCCAGAGCTGCTTAGAGGCGGATTCCTGCCTGCCAGTTCCCAGATAACCAACCCGGAGGCTTAATATTATAAATGCTCAGCCAATAGCTCAGGCTTGTTACTAGCTAACTCTTACATTTAAATTAAGCCATATTGCTTATCTATCTACGTTCTGCCACATGGCTTGGTACCTTTTCTTAGTACAGCATGCCCATCCTGCTTCTCTCTGTCTCTGCTGGCAACTCCTGACTCCGCCCTTCTTCCCATCTTTCTCAGTTTGGCTCTCCCGACTAACCTTATTCTGCCCAGCTATTGGCCAGTCAGCTTCTTTACTAAACCAATCACGCTGGGCGGTGGTGGCGCACGCCTTTAATCCCAGCACTCGGGAGGCAGAGGCAGGCGGATCTCTGTGAGTTCGAGGCCGGGCTGGACCGATAGCCTCCAAAACAATACAGAGAAACCCTGTCTCGTAAAAACCAAAAAAAAAAAAAAAAAAAAAAAAAACCAATCACAACAACATAATGGCACAGTGCAAAGGAATATTCCACAGCTGCTCCTCAGCCACAGACACATATCTCTAGTCTGGAGTGTCCCTTTCGGGTGGCTGGTCAGAATGTGTTCAGTTGCACTCTCATTTCTCTATTTGCCCAGTGGTGCTTGTGGCTTACAGGTGTATATATTCTCCACACCAATTACGTGTGTGTGTGTGTGTGTGTGTGTGTGTGTGTGTGTGTGTGTGTGTGTGTGTGTTTGAGTGCCACTAAGCAGAGTCCTTGGAGAGTGTAAATGTTCCCCAACTCCAAGTGACACTTGTCCTTTATGCCGCTATGTCTGAAGATGGTGGTTCCAAGACTCTTGAGCCGCAGAGCCAATAACCCCTGGTTCCATTGACATCTGTATTGGCCACATTTCTGTTCTCTGCCGACTGTTGTTACACCTGTCCCCATCCCTTGCCTTGGAGTCATCCCTTTGTTTATGGCTTCTTGTCCCTCATCGAGTTCTATGGATCTCCTCCGCAGGACCTCAGGCAGCAGCTTTCAGGCTGCCAGGAGACTATGAGCTTCTTGCAGCAGCAGCACGATCAGTGGGAGGCGGAGGGTGAAGCCCTGAGAGAAAGGCTGTACAAGCTCACTGGGGAGCGGGATGCTCTGGCAGGGCAGACTGCGGACCTCCAGGGAGAGGTGGATGCCCTCAGCAAGTGAGTGGACAGGCTGCTTGTCCCTCCCTTTCATGTCTAGTTTGTCTGTTTGTTTGTGTCTTTTTCAAAAAAAAAGCAAAGCCGTTAAATTTATTTTGCTCCATGTCTGGGTTACTTATGGTTTTGCAGGGAATCAAATCCAGAACCTTAGGCTTGTTAGGAAAGCATTCTTATGACTGAGCTACATTCTCAGTTCTCCAGTGTCTGGCTTTAGTTCTCATTTAGCCACTTACCCTCACTGTTTTTGATGGATTCTTCCTGCTGTCCCTGGACTCATGGATGCTTTTTTGTTTGTTTGTTTTTTGAGACAGGGTTTCTCTGTGCCTTTGGAGGCTGTCCTGGAAATAGCTCTTGTAGACCAGGCTGGCCTCGAACTCACAGAGATCTGCCTGCCTCTGCCTCCCAAGTGCTGGGATTAAAAGCATGTGCTGCCACCACCCGGTGGACTCATGGATGCTTAAAGTTGCTTTGGTTTTCTATTTCCTGTGGGGAAACCCTTTGGGCTCAAATAATAAATGGTTTTCTGCTTGAAAAAAGGTGTGTGTGTGTGTGTGTGTGTGTGTGTAAAAGGAAACAAGCTTCTCTCACGTTTTGCTTGTTCTACAAGGTCTTTGTCCCCTAGGATCTTTAGTCCCCAGGTCTGTTCCCCAGACGTCTGGTCTGTCTTTCAGGGAGCGAGAGCTGCTGCAGAAGGCCAGGGGAGAGCTGCAGCAGCAGCTGGAAGTTCTGGAGCAGGAAGCATGGCGACTGCGAAGAGTCAACACGGAGCTGCAGCTGCAAGGGGACTCTGCTCAGGGGGAGAGGCAGGAGCGGCAGGAGGAGCTGCACATGGCTGTCCGTGAGAGGGAGCGTCTGTAAGTGTGAGCAGGCCTCTCGCCAGGGTCTACACCTTCCCCACCCGACTCCCTCTCTTAGGAAGTGGAGTGTGTAAAGCCTACGCACACTTCACACTAGCTCACGGCGTCTTCCTTTGCAGAAAGGTGAGTTAGAAAGCTCATCTAGACACTGTCGAGTTCTATAGAGATGTGGGACTGTGAGGGCCATAAAGATGAGTAAGATACTGGATGATCTCAAGGAGCTTGAAACCTAATGAGAAGTCAGACAAGCAAAGAGCTGTGACATGGAGCTTGAAGAAATACAGCCTCACTAGAGTTCAAGCTTGGTGTTTTGGAAGCATAGGGTCAATAGTTAATTATTGAGAACCAGGGTTGACTTTATGGATGTGGGGCCTTGACATGTAGAAAAAAAGGATCAAGGGGATGAATAGCAAAGAAAAGGAAGCAGGAGCTGGTGGCATGTTCTGAGTTATCTGGCGGTGACAAGATAAAACCACTGGGAAATGATAGGAAATGCACTGGTCAGGAAGGAAAATCCAGGGTCATTGCCCCCAGCTAACCTGTACAGTGCACTCAGTAACGCTGCAGAAAGGAACGGTAGAACAGGACAAAGGTTGGTACAGATTTGTGCTTTGCCACCAGAATCAATTGTCTCTTGGCAAAATGGAGAGAGATGGTATTGGAAGGATTATTGGGAAGATGTGGCAGTACTTCATAAAATGCTAGCATGGGGCTGTCTAGATGGTGCAGTGTGAGCTCAATCCACCAACTCCCGTGGATTGTCCTCTGACCTCTATATGTGTATGTGGTTCCCTCCCCACATACAAATAAATGTAACTATGTTTTGTTTGTTTGAGACAGGTTCTCATTCTGTAGTCCCCGCTAACCGTGAACTCACTGTTTAGTGCCAGCAGAGCCCTGGGGACAGCTCTTCACTTGGTATAGTCCCCTCCCTCGTGCCTTATCCCTTGTACCTAGTAAACAGTGGAAGCTTGAGGAAGCTTGAGGTCTGCCAAAAGGTAGGGCCATGCTGCATGTCCTGCACTGAGGGGACAGCAGAAAATTCACACAGATAATATGTGTTTAAAATTTAATCTATCTGACTCAATAATATAGTTAGATAAGTCAAAAACCAAAGCTGTTTAAAGAGATACCAGACCTCCAAAACAATACAGAGAAACCCTGTCTCATAGAACCAAAAAAAAAAAAAAAAAAAAAAAAGATACCAGAGTATATTGGTGCACATCTGTAATCCCAACACTTGGGAGACTGAGGCAAGAAGATTGCTGTGAGTTCAAAGCCAGCTTGGCTGCGAATCTCATGATTCCATTATTTTTTTCTGCTGAATAGTACTCCATTGTGTAGATGTACCACATTTTCTCTATCCACTCTTCAGGTGAGGGACATCTAGGTTGCTTCCAAGTTCTGGCAATTACAAATAAAGCTGCTATGAACATAGTGGAACAGACATCTTTGTTGTATGAAAGGGCATCTTTTGGATATATGCCTAAGAGTGGAGTTGCTGGGTCTTGTGGTAGGTTTATTCCCATTTTTCTGAGGAATCTCCATACTGATTTCCAAAGTGGCTGAACCAGTTGGCACTCCCACCAGCAATGGAGGAGTGTCCCCCTTTCACCACATCCTCTCCAGCATAAATTGTCATTGGTGTTTTTGATTTTAGCCATTCTGACAGGAGTGAGATGGTATCTGAGAGTTGTTTTGATTTGCATTTCCCGGATGGCTAAGGATGTTGAGCACTTTCTCAAGTGCCTCTCAGCCATTTTAGACTCCTCTATTGAAAACTCTCTATTTAGTTCTGCAGCCCACTTTTTAATAGGGTCCTTTGGTGTTTTGGAGACTTGCTTCTTGAGTTCTTTGTAAATTTTGGAGATCAACCCTCTGTCAGATGTGGGATTAGTGAATATTTTTTCCCATTCTGTGGGCTGCCTTTTTGTCTTGCTGACTGTGTCCTTTGCTTTACAGAAGCTTCTCAGTTTCAGTAGGTCCCATTTATTAATTGTTGATCTCACTGTCTGTGCTACTGGTGTTATGTTCAGGAAGCTGTCTCCTGTACCAATTCGTTCAAGGGTACCACCCACTTTCTCTTCTAAGAGGTTCAGTGTGGCTGGATTTATGTTGAGGTCTTTGATCCATTTGGACTTAAGTTTTGTGCATGGCGATAAACATGGATCGATCTGCATTCTTCTACATGCCAGTCTCCAATTATGCCAGCACCATTTGTTGAAGATGCTTTCTTTATTCCATTGTATATTTTTAGCTTCTTTGTCAAAGATCAGATGTTCGTACGTGTGTGGGTTAATACCCGGATTTTCAATTCGATTCCATTGGTCTACCTGTCTATTTTTGTGCCAATACCAAGCTGTTTTCAGGACTATAGCTCTATAATAGAGCTTGAGGTCAGGGATGGTGATGCCTCCGGACGTTGCCTTGTTGAACAGGGTTGTTTTGGCTATCCTGGGTCTTTTGTTTTTCCATACAAAATTGATTATTGTTATTTCAAGGTCTGTGAAGAATTGTGCTGGGATTTTAATGGGGATTGCATTGAATCTGTAGATTGCTTTTGGCAGGATTGCCATTTTTACTACATTGATCCTACCTATCCAAGAGCATGGGAGATCTTTCCATTTTCTGAGGGCTTCTTTAATTTCTTTCTTTAAAGATTCAAAGTTCTTACGATACAGGTCTTTCACTTGTTTGGTTAGCGTTACCTCAAGGTATTTTATGTTGTTCGTGGCAATTGTAAAGGGTGATGTTTCTCTGATTTCTCTTTCAGCCCTTTTATCATCTGTATATAGTAGGGCTACTGATTTTCTTGAGTTGATCTTGTAGCCTGCCACTTTGCTGAAGGTGTTAATCAGCTGTAAGAGTTCCCTGGTAGAGTTCTTTGGGTCATTGATGTAAACTATCATATCGTCTGCAAACAGTGAAAGTTTGACCTCTTCCTTCCCAATTTGTATCCATCCTTAGTGAGGTAACCCAGTCACAAAAAGAGAAACATGGCATGTACTCTCTCATATATGGATTTTAGACATAGATCTGGGGAGTGCCAGCCTTCAATCCTATGGCCAGAGAGTCTGGGAAACAGAAACTTTATTTAGTGGCTGATGGAAGAAGAGGCAGACTCCCTTGGTTAAGTACTGAGCTGAACTCAAGAAAGCCAGTAACAGAGAGGGAGGACTGATGATCAAAGGGATTAAGACTGGGCTGGTTTAACCCCCAGAAACAGCTGACCAGACAAAGGTTAACTCTTGAATCCCAGGCATCAGCCTGGGAAGCCAGCATGGGACTGATCAAGACCCCCTGAATCTGGGTGTCAGTGAGGAGGCCTAGGTAATCTATTGAGCCTTGGGCAGCAGATCAGTACCCATCCCAAGTATACACACGGACTTTGGACTCCCATAGAACAATGTGAGGTGCACTCTCACCCGAACTCTTGGGGAAGGGTCTAGGCCCTGCCCTATATGAAATGACAGACTATGCACACCCCCATGGAGGGCCTCACCCTCCCTGGGGAAATGAGGGGATAACGGGGGGGGGGAGGGCTCGGGAGGAAGGGAGGGAATGGGAGAGGGACCTGGAACTGACTTGTGAAGCAACCTTGTTTCTTATCCAAATTTAAACTGGAAAATAAAATTAAAAAACAAAACAAAACAAAAAAAAAACAAAGCCAGCTTGGACAGCAGAGCAAGACCCTGTCACAATAAACAACAAAAAAGCAGCCTATTTAAAAAGATGTACACAGGGAAGTCTCCCCCATCTTTTCTCGCTCTGTCCTATTTTCCTTCATTGGTAACCATTTCAGTTAATTTCGTATTTATTTTTCCAGTTCACTTCATGCAAATATTCTTCTTTCTCTTACTTTTTTGCATGAAAGGCAGTACACTAACATGCTGTTATGCACTTTCATTTTTTCACTTGCTCTATCTTAGAGAACTTTCCTTACTAGTTTTTAGAAACTAATTCCACATTTTTTTTAAAATAGAAAGAAAAATTAGATTCTTGTCTCCTGTTGGGATGTGGCCCCTTCCAAACACTTCCCCCAGCCCCCTCCTTCCCTTCTTAGTCAGGAGATGCTGGTGAGCCTGGAAGCCAAGCAATCGGAGTCTCTAAGTGAGCTGATCGCCCTTCGAGAAGCCCTGGAGTCCAGTCGCCTGGAGGGGGAGCTGCTGCGGCAGGAGCAGGTGGCAGTGACTGCAGCCTTGGCCAGGGTGTGTGGCCTTCTCCCGGGGACAGTCGTGTTCTCAGGAAAGCGCTCATTCTTCACCCTCAGACTTCAACCTTCCTAGCTTTCTCTTCAATCTCTAGTCTGCTTCTGGGCCCTCTCCCTCCCAACATGCGCTCTACACTGAAATTCAATGTGTTCTCCAAAGTATAAATCTGGCTGTTAGTCTCTCAGAGTTGCCCCATGGGGGCTGGAGGTAGCTCAGCAGTGAGGAGTGCATAGCTCCCCAAGTTCACTTCCCAGCACCCACTTCAGGTGGCTAACAAACTCTACGAGAATCTGACGTCCTATTCTGAACTTCATGGACACAACACTCACATTTGTACATTTATTCATTCATAAGAAAAGAGACGAAGACATATATATATATATATGTATATATATATATATACATGATTTAAAAATAAAAACCTTTAAAAGAAAATTCAGTGGCTTCTCAAACTCTGGTAACACCCTTTGCCATCTGCCTCAGACTCTCTGGCCTGGCCTTCCCAAGCCCATCCCTCATACTCCAGGTGTCCTTTGCTCTCGACACAAGCTGCATTCATGACTCTAATATGTTATATACACCTTTCTTTCACCTTGACTCTCAAGAACCATCTCCCTCTTAGTATCCCATTGTTCCAAGCATTTTCTCCTCTCCCAAACTGAACTGATGCCTTCTTGGAGTTTCAGTTGTGATTACAGTTTCTGTACTGTTGTGACAATTGTAGTTTGCACAACTTTCTGTGTTTCTATGCTGTGAGCTCTTTTCTCATGAATGAATGATGAATGAATGAATGAATGAATGAATGAAAACCTTGTTTAGAATGGAAATGAAGAGATGGAATGATATTTTATAAATAAAAGCAGGTTTTGGGAGTGTGTATGGTTTAGTGTTCCATGAAAATTCAAAGCAGGAAACACTAACTCTTTTGTTTTTAGGCAGAGCAGTCCATTGCAGAGCTGTCAGGTTCCGAGAGCAGCCTGAAGGCAGAGGTAGCTGATCTTAGAGCCGCAACTGTCAAGCTTGGGGCCTTAAACGAGGCTTTGGCTTTAGATAAAGTTGGGCTGAACCAGCAGCTTCTCCAGGTGAGCAAAGATTTGATTACCAGGAGGGGCTGGGCCTTATTTGAGGATTAGCCCTGGCAGACAAAGCTGATGCCTTAAAGGGGCAGGGAGTCCTCAGTGGGTTAGGCAAAGGCAGGTGAGCTCCTGGATGTGGCTGAAATGAGCAGGAGGGGCCTCTGCAGTGCGGAGGACAAAGGGTTAAACTCAAGCACTGTAGTTAGTCCTCATCTGTACCTACAGCAGAACCTTTGAGGTGTGGATAAATGAGAGGCTAGGGAAGGGTCCCTGTCCCTGGAAGCTAGACAAAGTGTTTGATCCTATTGGGTGTGGCAGATCTGCTGACTAGCCCAAGTGCCCTCAAAATCACCTCTGTTGGTTAAAAATCTAACCTGTCATTTTTAGTAGGGAAAACTTCTTGCTTCCTGCTCTCCTGAGGCCCAGAAATGTTATTATTCTGGGTGTCCTGTTTGTTTTGTTTTTTGAGACAGTGTTTCATGCTACCTAGGCTGTCCTGATCCTCTATCACTTCCCAAGTGCTGGACCACAGGCTTGCACCACCATACCACCTGGTATTATTCTGAATTATTTGGAAGCAAGGTTTTGCCTTTTTATCTCTATCCCAGCATCAGGCCCATCTGGTGCTTAGAATATAAACATCAGATCAAATGAACGGGTCGCTTGTCTTCAAAGCACTGTTATGTTCAGCTGTAGGGAGGGTTCCGGTCAAGGTGCTTCAGAAGCATAGGGGAACTGTACCCATTTACCTTTGATGCCCTGCATTCCTTTCCCTTCCTGGCCAGTAGCTGGAGCAGGAGAACCAGTCTGTGTGCAGCAGAGTGGAGGCGGCTGAGCACTTGAGAAGCGCTTTGCAGGTGGACCTGGCAGAGGCAGAACGGTGCAGGGAAGCCCTGTGGGAGAAGAAGACTCAGCTGCAGACTCAGCTGCAGAAGGCAGAGGAAGCAGGGGCTGAGCTTCAGGCAGAACTGAAGAGCATCCGGGAAGAAAAGGAAGAACTCAAAGAGAAATTAAGTGAGGTGAGAGGAAAATTTGATGTTGTCACTTGCAGTGTAATGCACGCTTACTATAAGCAAAAAGGACTCAAAGAACGCCAGGGTCTTCCTTCTTAGGAGTGACTCAGTGCGAGGGAGGTATCTGCCCACTTTTTAAAGGAATTTCTGTTGGTGTCCTTCACTGATTCCCCCACTCCCTGTTCCTACATGATTTTCCCTGTATTCTTTGCTAGCACTGTGTAGATGTGTAGTTGCAACATCTACAGTTCTCTCATGCTGTAACTATTTGTTTGATATCCATAAAGGCCAGCCTATTTCCATTACTTATTTATTTTGGTCTTTTGAGACAGTATGTAACTCTGTCACCCTAGCTGGCCTGGAATTTACTTTGTAGACCAGGCTGGCCTCAAACTTGCAGTGATCCACCTGCCTCTGCCCCCTGAGTGATGAGATTATTAGCTACCATGTCCAGTCAAAGCTGTGTATCTGTCTTTCTGTTAAAAGACAGGGTCTGTCTGTGGTTTTTTATTGTTTTGTTTAACTCACAATATGAGGGGGCATGGCCATTTATCGTGGGAAAAGCATGGCAGCAGATGTCTATGTGGTAGCCAGGGTTTGTGGCAGCTGCTTGCTTGGGTCTTAGCCACCAGAAGGCAGAGAAAGGGGAATGAAGTGCTCTGCTGGGCTTCTCCTGTTGCCCTTTTAATTGAATCTGAGACTGCAGCCCATGTGATGGTGCCATTCATATTCAGGTGGTTTTCCCTCCTCCATTAACATCCTCACGGACATACCCAGAGGTGTGTCTCCTAAGTGATTCTAAATCACCAAGCTGACAATGAAGCTTAATCTTAACAATCATGCTTTTCCCTACCAAACCTCTCATTGCCCTAATACTTGAACATAATCGAGTCTCTTCTCGGGTATTAGTCACTTTCTTGTGTACATATGGGTCCCGCTGTCCCGAGCACAGTGTCTCACTCATAGGAGAGCATCCTTTCTGGCCTGGGGCCTCCTCATTGGTCAAGGAAATAAATTCCTGAGTCAACATGTTCAGTGCTCGTCATGCTGATCCCAGAATCTCTGAAGACCCTTGGCCCTGACTTGCTGGCAGCAGCCCTGTATCTCATCAGTTTCTTTCCTCAGGCTCATCACCAGCAAGAAGCAACTGCAGCTCAGCTGGGGCAGCTGCATCAGGATGCTGAGCGACAGGAAGAAACCCTTGCTAGAGCAGTCCAGGAGAAAGAGGCCCTTGTACGGGAGAGGGCAGCTCTCGAGGTGCGCCTGCAGGCTGTGGAGCGGGACCGACAGGACCTCACTGAGCAAGTTCTGGGGCTCAGGTAGGGTCCACACTTGCTCAACCAAGCACAGAGAACTTTGCAAGGCTAAGCTGAGCTCCCTGTCCTGAGTGCATGAACTGTAAATGAGTTGTAGACATGTAATTGCTTGATGGGTTAGAATGCTTCCTGATTCCCAAATCTCAGGTCAGCCAAGGAACAACTGGAGAGCAGTCTCTTTGAGGCCCAACAGCAAAATTCTGTGATAGAGGTCACCAAGGGACAGCTGGAGATCCAGGTTCAAACTATTACTCAAGCCAAGGAAGTAATTCAAGGTGAGAAGCCCGCCAGGATGGGCACGCTGCATTCCATGGTGATGTTAACAGCCCAGAGGGCAATGGGAAGCTTTCCACATCCAGACTGGGGGCCCCTGAGATGGAAGCTGCTCATGAAGTGGGTGGGCAGGGAGAGTAATGTTAGGTAAAAGGAGTGGAGTGGAGCAGAGGCTGAGAGTTGACGTTGCCTGACTCTTAGGGGAAGTGAAGTGTCTGAAACTGGAACTGGATGCCGAGAGGAGCCGGGCTGAGCAGGAGCGGGATGCAGGAGCCAGGCAGCTCGCCCAAGCTGAGCAGGAGGGGCAGACAGCGCTGGAGCGGCAGAAGGTGGCCCATGAGGAGGAGTTGAACAGGCTCCAAGAGAAGTGGGTAGGTGTTGGCTGTGGTTGGGGAACAGGAGAGGCAGACATGGCCTCCCTGCAGTGAATCTGCCACTCGACGCTCTTGGTCCAGTTATTGCCGCTTAAAAGAATGAAATTTGATCACCAAGGTATAAAATCCAGTGTAATAATCCTCAATCCCAGAATGCCTGTCTGTTTCTACTTCAGCCTCTCTTTTCTGGGGAGAGGGGGTACCTCCTTGTGACCTTGTGGGCCTCAGAGTTGAACAGCTTCTAGCTATTAAATAAGTTAACATACGAAAAAATACTAAGACTAGTTCTTGGCATAGTGTGAGCTCTATATTTGTAAGCTCTCTCTGTCTCTGTCTCTGTGTGTGTGTGTGTGTGTGTGTGTGTGTGTGTGTGTGTGTGTGTGTGTGTGTGTGTGTGTATTGCTTGTATGTATCAAGAATTAAGTGTGGCCGGGCGGTGGTGGTGCACGCCTTTAATCCCAGCACTCGGGAGGCAGAGGCAGGTGGATCTCTGTGAGTTCGAGGCCAGGCTGGACCAACAGCCTCCAAAACAATACAGAGAAACCCTGTCTCGTAAAACAAAACAAAACAAAACAAAACAAAACAAAAAATTAAGTGTGGATCCTGGGAACAGCCAGGGCAGAGTACAACTATAATGCCAACATTTAGGAGGCAGGAAACCTGTGGGTTCAAGGTTACCTGTTTTACAAAGGGATACCCTTTTCAAAACCCAAAGAGACATCAAGAATTGATGCTACATGCCTTTAATTCTAGCACCGGGAGGCAGACGCTGGTGGTTCTCTGTGAGTTCAATACCAATCTGCTCTTCTTAGTGAGTTCCAGTCCAGGATTACCTAGTGAGACCCTCCCTAAAAATTGATTTAAATTAAAAAAAAATTGTAAGAGAGCAGTCTACCTTTTAATCATCAGGGAGATCAGAAGGCGGGGTTACCTGAATGTGTGGAAAGGAAGAGAAGGAACCAGGTGTGGCCATGACAGTCACTCCTTCCAGGGAACTTGAAGCCATTAGCTCATCCATCAGAAGTTTATATTATGTTTTACTTGGGTTTTCAGTGGGTACTATCCCTGACTCTTAGAGGAAGGCACCCTGGTCATCTAGGTACATAATTCTAAAAGTGGGCAAACTTTTGGCTACTGTCTTGCCAACAACCCACCTTAAAAGACTAGTCAAGGGGCTAGAGAAGCTAGTGGTTAAGAGAGGTGTTGGTGGCACGTGCCTTTAATCCCAGCACTCGGGAGGCAAAGGCAGGCAGATCTCTGTGAGTTTGGGACCAGCCTGGTCTACCAAGCAAGTTCCAGGACAGCCTCCAAAACAATACAGAGAAACCCTGTCTCGAAAAACCAACCAAACAAACAAACAGAAAGAGAGTGCAGCAAGAGGGCCTGGGCAAACAGAAAGAGAGTGCAGCAAGAGGGCCTGGGCAAACGTCTCCTAGCAGCCACTTCAGGTGGCTCACAGTCACCTGCACAGCCAGCTCTAGAGGTCCTGAGATCTTTCTCTGACCTCTGCAATACATACATATGTGGCATACATGCACATAAATAAAAATAAATATTTAAAAACAAACAACCAATAATCAAAAACCGTACATGGTACTTAGTGCATGCCTATAACTCAGAACCCAGGAGGCAGCTACTGTTCTTTCAGAGGACCCATGTTTGCTCCCGGCACCCATGTTGGCCGGTTCATGACTGTAGTACGATAAGTAAAACACCAGAGACAGATACTGGGGTTCAAACTTCAGGCTGAAGATCAGAAAAGTAAAGCAGCCAGCCACTAGCTCTCATTCTACGTCAGACTGAAAAGTGATCTTGGCTCCACCAAACCTCTGACAGCTGCCTCTCCTCAGCATGGCTGGAGAATCCTGAGACTTCAATGTCTTCCTATCCTCAATGCGGCTGAAGAATGAAAGGCAGCTCTGAGACCCTGTTCCTGTCTCATATACCTCCCTAATGCTGGGATTAAAGGTGTGGGATTTCAGGTGCTGAGGTCACCTTTGTTTGAGCTGGTTCTCTTTAGTACTGGACAGTTTCAAGGAGCTCAGTGTGGCCTTGAACTAACAGAGATCTGTCTACCTCTGCCTCCCAAGTGATGGGATTAAAGGTGTGTACCAACACCACCCTATCTCTGTAGTTCATTGGCTGACTTTGCTTTCTGAATCCTCAGGCAAGTTTTTTTTTTTAATAGCTTGTTTTACATGTCAATCCCAGTCCCCTCTTGCTCCCCTCCTCCCGCACCCCCCCTCTCAGGCTAGTTTTAATAAATCATCATAAATAATATATCACCACAATTCCCCTTTTTTCATCTGCAACTCCAGCTGCAGGGGATCCTACACACTTTTTTCAACTCTACCATTTCCTGCAAGATGAAGCCAGTTAAAAATTCCAGCATGGAGGAGGGAGGGGCTTTCAAGGCCCTACGTCTAGCTAAGGAATTATTAGCAGTTGATGGCTTTTGAAATCTGTTCTCCTTCCAGTATGGGTTCTAGGGATGGGACTCAGGTCCTCAAGCTGATGCAGCAAGTGCTTTTACTTTCTGAGCCATCTTGCTGGCCCAGTATGTGGTACTTTGAATAGCAAAATGTTCTGGTCATAGTCTAACCAGCAGTGATGAACTATTACTTCCTGTTTTGACATCACAGAATTAGCTATAACCCTCAGAGTTCTGTCTCTAATGAACCTCCCCTACCTGACAGGTACCACCTCCCCCAAACTCCACAAACCTCCCCAAAACAGTTCTGCCAGGTATTCAAACAAACACAGGAGTCTAGGGGCAGGGTGAGGAATGCTGGGAGGATTTCACACACAAACCATAACCATCATTTTAAAGGCAAGGCACAAGGAACTTCTGGTGTAATGTTACATCGGTATTTATGTACTACCACTCAATGTGTATTGCACAATGTTCAGAGAGATTTACATGGCTTGCTTTCCCATGTCCACACGTGAGAAAACCGCGACATGGAGATGCTTAGAAATTGGCCAAGGCAGGTTTGTTGGTTGGTTGATTGCTTAGCAACCTGGGTTCAGTCTTTAGCACAGCATTAAACTGATGGAGAAAGCCTATCATTAGGAGTGGGTCTGCCAGAACCAGGACCCTCCCCTCATTGGCTGTGCATTGTAGGGAGGCATCTCTGATGAACCAGGCTTGGTTATGGGAGGGGCCGACTCGGCACCAGAGCACAGAGCAGTGGTCAGCAGGTGGCAGGGTTGGCAGATTCAGTTCAACCATGCTGTTGTGACCTTAAAAATAACAGTTGTAACTTATATGGGGTAGAGAGCACATTTACATGTATGTATGTATTTTTGAACCAGGGACTCTCTTTGTAACCCTGGCTGTCTTAGAACTCACTATGTCGACCAAGCTGGCCTCAAACCCATAGAGATCCACCTGCTTCTGCCTCCCAAGTGCTGAGATCAAAGGCATGTGTGTCACCATGCCCCAGTTATACATTGGTTTTTGTTGTTGTTTGTTTGTTTGTTTGTTTCAAGATGCGTTTCTTTGTAACAGCCCTGGCTGTCCTGGAACTCACTTTGTAGACAAGGCTGGCCTCCAACTCACAGAAATCTGCCTGCCTCTGTCTCCTGAGTGCTGGGATTAAAGGCGTGAGCCACCACTGCCTGGCCTATACATCATTTTTTTAAAAATAAATTTCACTTGACACTTAAATTTTAGTGAGACAGATAAGTCAGGGATTGGTTTTGTTTGTTTGTTTGTTTTTTGGTTTTTCAAGACAAGGTTTCTCTGTGGCTTTGGAGGCTATCCTGGAACTTGCTCTGTAGACCAGGTTGGCCTCGAACTCACAGAGATCCGCCTGCCTCTGCCTCCCGAGTGCTGGGAGTAAAGGCGTGCGCCACCACTGCCCAGCCTAGGCAAGCCTCTCATCAGAAATGATCATCAGGCTGAGAGCAGTGCCTATGAGGCAGTGGGGAGATTTGCCCCCCAAACAACTCTCCTGTCTCCTCTGGTTTTAACAGTGTGGTTTCCTCCACATGGTCAGGAGAAAGAGTGCTCCTTGCTTCAGCAGGAGCTGGAGAAGACCCTGGAGACTCTAGAAAGGGAGAGAAAGGAGCTGGAAGTGAGGCTGAGAGAGCAACAGATAGAAACTGAAGCTGTCCGTGCACAGAGGGAAGAGGAACGAACCCACGCTGACAGCACTCTGTACCAAGTAAGCAGCTTGGAGTATTACACCTTTGCCATCTCTGATTCCCCCAGCCTTACCACCTTTCATTCCTAATGGCAGGGCTCAAGTAGGGCTTCCAGAAGAGAGGGTAGCTACCACTTTGCTGCTTGCAAGTGGGCTAATAAGCAGTTAGCTGCAGCAGGCAGCATGTCATACTTCCTGAGGGAGGGCCAACACTTACCACATCCTGTCAGCTTGCAAACCAGTGGTAATCTTTGTACTTCCTGGTTTTGAGTTAATGGTCTTAGACTTTCCTTTGCCCTCAGCCCTCATCCTATTTGTTGGAAGAACTTGGAGCAAATGTGCTTATGGCCTCCAGGGTCAGCATGATAACCCAGAACGGTGAAGCCCTTGCGCTTCCTGCCTTTCCACAGATGCAGCTAGAAACAGAGAAGGAGAGAATGTCCCTCCTGGAAACACTGCTACAGACCCAGAAGGAGTTAGCAGATGCTACCCAGCAGTTGGAAAGGCTGAGGAAGGACATGAAGATTCAGAAATTACAGGAACAGGTATGGAGGGTGCTCCTGGGTCTGGTCCTCCTGCCTCCTCCCAAATGCTGGAATTACAGGTGTGAACCACGACACCAAGTTTTATGTTTTGTTAAGGATCAAATCTCAGGCTTCTTGAATGCTGGGAGGGGGCAGTTCTTTTTTTTTTTTTTTTTTTTTTTTTTTTTTTTTTTGGTTTTATGAGACAGGGTTTCTCTGTATTGTTTTGGAGGCTGTCGGACCAGCCTGGCCTCGAACTCACAGAGATCCACCTGCCTCTGCCTCCCGAGTGCTGGGATTAAAGGCGTGCGCCACCACCGCCCGGCTAATTATTTTATGTATTGTTCTGTGCACATGGCATGACACCCATATGGAATCCAACTTGTGGGAGTTGGTTCTTTCCTTCTACTGTATAGGACCCTGAAATTGATCTCAGGTTATCGCACTTGACAGCAAGCACCTTTACCCACTGAGGGTAGTTTTTGAAGGACACATTGTGCATAGGGTTTCACTGTCATAGGGTCCTGTAACAGACAGAATGAGGCTTGGGAAATTCAAGAACAAAAAGAGGTGCATGGCTCTAGTGTGAGAAACTTGGGGGTGGTACAGGAGAGAGGGGAAAGGATGGAGGGTGATACAGGAGAGGGGAGAGGATGGAGGGTGATACAGGAGAGGGGAGAGGATGGAGGGTGATACAGGAGAGAGGGGAAAGGATGGAGGGTGATACAGGAGAGAGGGGAGAGGATGGAAGATGATACAGGAGAGGGGAGAGGATGGAGGGTGATACAGGAGAGGGGAGAGGATGGAGGGTGATACAGGAGAGGGGAGAGGATGGAGGGTGATACAGGAGAGGGGAGAGGATGGAGGGTGATACAGGAGAGGGGAGAGGATGGAGGGTGATACAGGAGAGAGGGGAAAGGATGGAGGGTGATACAGGAGAGAGGGGAGAGGATGGAAGATGATACAGGAGAGGGGAGAGGATGGAGGGTGATACAGGAGAGGGGAGAGGATGGAGGGTGATACAGGAGAGGGGAGAGGATGGAGGGTGATACAGGAGAGGGGAGAGGATGGAGGGTGATACAGGAGAGGGGAGAGGATGGAGGGTGATACAGGAGAGGGGAGAGGATGGAGGGTGGTACAGGAGAGAGGTGAGAGGTGTATGAGTGTTTTGCCTACATGTATGTGTGTATACCATGTGCATGCCTGGTACCTGCAGAGGCCAGAAGAGGGTGTCAGAGCTCCTGGAACTGGAGTTACAAATGTGTGGGTGCTGGGAATTGAACATGGGTATACTGCAAGAGCAAAGTGCTCTTAACCACTGACCATTTCTCTAGCCCCTGTAATACATCATTTTATGTATTTCTATATACATTTTTTTTTTTTTTGGTTTTACGAGACAGGGTTTCTCTGTATTGTTTTGGAGGCTGTCGGTCCAGCCTGGCCTCGAACTCACAGAGATCCACCTGCCTCTGCCTCCTGAGTGCTGGGATTAAAGGCGTGCACCACCACTGCCCGGCTCTATATACATATTTAAATATTTATTTTATTATCATTATCTTTTTGTGGCTCTGGGGATCAGACCTGGAGCCTTGTAACATACTAGGCAAATGTTCAGCTACTAAATTATAATGTCAGCCTAGAATATCTTTTTGAGGCAGGGTCTCACTATTATGTGGCTTCCATCTGCCTCTGCCTCCCTAGCGCTGGCATTAAAGGCGTGTGCCACCATGCCTGGCCAGGATATCTTTTAATACCATACTTGACCAAGTGGAAGTGTGCACATGTATGTATGCAATCAAGTGGAAGTCGGGTGTGTTCAGGGGGCTGTTATGGGGTCTGGGTTAGGGTCAGTCACAAACTCTTGGGCCTGGCCAAAAGGTTGGCTGGGCCCATGCAGTCATGTGGAAGGAGGAATAGGGTATGAGAAGAGAGGGGGAGGACCAGGCGTGCTCCAATAGAACTCTTCCCTGGAAACCGCATCCCCAGCACCTTAGTTCCACCAACCCTGGATGCGCATCCGGCCTTCCCCTACCGTGTGCTATAGTTGTGGGGACCGGGTGGGAGAGATCTCTCTGGTAGTGAGTTGTCCTCTCAATGGACCTGAACCTAATGCCATCTCGAAAGCCCAGGACTCCACTCACCTGCATCATAACAGTCCCAGGCTGCAACAAGGACAATGTCCGAGCAGGCTGCAAAAGATGTGACTACCCTGGTCATCTGACTTCTGAGTGCCGGGTAGACCCCAAGAGGGACATCGTGTTGGATGTCAGCAGCACAAGTAGTGAGGGCAGCGATGAAGAAAATGAAGAACTGAACAAACTGCAGCCTCTGCAGGAGAAAGAAAAGGAAGACGAGGAGAAGAAACGGGAAAAGCAAGGAGAAGCTTAAACTGAAGAAAAAGATGAAAAGGTCTTACTCTAGCTCCACCAAAGGGGACTCTTCAAAACAAAAGAAACACAAGTATTAGCAAAAAGAAAAGAACAACAAATCAAAAAAAGGAAACATCGCAAAAAAGGAAGAAAAGAAGAGAAAAAAGGAAAAACACTCTTCCCTTAACCATTCTGAATTCACCAAAAAGTAACCGAATCTTTGGCCTAACTCAGGAAATTGAAGAATTCAATATTTTTAATTTATTGTACCTTCTTTGGAATTGCTATATAATTATGCTTCACAGCAAATCCCAGCCTCTTCCATAAAGACATTCCTCACGTGTTGGGACCCTTGTCTCTCTGCTCATCTGTGTTAAATCTATCTTGTTACTCGACAGCCATGCCTCAAGTATAGATATTTGTATTTGTGTTTCTGTGTGTTAGGCTAGCATTGTCACTTCCAAGTAGTCTACATAGCAGCTGCTGAGTGTTGGCTACCTTCCAGTGATGTAGCAAGGTTGGTGGTAGTGATTTGCTCTTGATACTGAGGAGTTTAATAGCTTTATCTACTGTGTAATGTATAAAGATAGTGAAGTTCTTCACTGTTGTTTTTAAATCTCTAGGCTTTTTAAATAATATCACTGAAGATAAAACTTCTTTACTGATCTTAAGTTTTTAAATGAATGGGATCTATAGGAAGACAATGAAAGTATAACACGTGTTATTGTTTTATGAAATGCATGTTTCTAGCACTTGTCTCCTGTTTTTATGAAAATTAAAATACCCCCTTTTTAAAGGGACTCACTTAGCTTACTAGAAAGTCTGGCAGGGAGAGTCTGCTGGTCAGGATCATCAGGGTCGACCCTGGGTTGATGAACACGTGTGCCACATTGGCATGTCTTACAGTGATACCTAAAACACAGAACTTTGTGTGGAAACAGCAAAATCCTCATTAAAGTTGATTTTTATTATTTTAAAAAAAGACTAGAGGGGGAAACAGTATGCATGGTTAGTTCCTGCCTCAGCTTTGTGAACTCAGTAGAAACAAACAGCATTTATACAGCACAGGTTGCAGGAGCTAGCCCCTGTGGAAGCTTTTTGCACTCACTGATCCTTTCTCCTGTAGGAGGCCACTGACATGCTGCAGACCCAGCTTCGGGGAGCACAGCAGGAGCTGAAGGAGGCAACCCAGCAGCACAGGGAGGAGCACGCTGCCTTCCAGAAGGACAGGGCAGACCTGCAGAAACAGGTCTATGTTTTCTACCTGCCTCACAGCCAGCCCTGCCCACCACAGCCAGACCTGCCCACCACAGCCAGCCCTGCCCACCACAGCCAGCCCTGCCCACTCCCTTTTGCAGACAAGGGTCCCAGGTCCTGCTGCTTGAGCTTGGGAGGACAGGGATGGGCTACAGAAATAAGTGCGGAGTTGTAGAAGGGTGTTCAGAGCTGAGCATGTGCCTCGCCGAGTTCTGGGATTATATTATTAGCCCTAGTTATCCAGATTCTACCAACAGCCACTGAAAATACTGGGAGAGCATTGTACTGTGAATGTATAGGCCTTTTCTTCTCTAAATAACAACCGTTTACATAGTGTTTACATCGTGTTAGGTATTGTTTACATTGAATTCAATATGAGAGGTCATATGGAGATGACTTAAAATGTAGGAGAATGTGAATAGGTTATGGTCAAATGCTATATAATTTAGTCCCAGCACTTAAGACTAAAGAGGTTGAGGCAGGCCAGGTGGTAGTGGCGCACGCCTTTAATCCCAGCACTCGGGAGGCAGAGGCAGGCTGATCCAAAGCTACACAGAGAAACTCTTGTCTTAAAAAGGAGAGAGAGAGAAAGGGGAAGGGGGAGAGAGGGAGAGGGAGAGATTGAGTTTGAAGTCAATCCTACCTGCACAGTGGGATTGTGTCTCTAAAACAAGAACAGGCTAGGAAGATGGGTGTGGTGGCATGTGCTGATAGAACTAGGGCTGGAGAGGCAGAATGGTGTGTGTCTACAAATGTCTACTGACCTCCACAAACATGCCATGGTATGTGATTGAGTGTGTCATACACGAGTAAACGTAAGAAAGAAGACAAAACCGTGTAGGGACTAGTGAAACCTCCAGAACTGTGGAGACGGGCCACTGACTGGTGTGGCTTACAGGAGCCTAAGCACCTAGACTACTTCCCACTTGGCTCTGGACTTTGTCGTCTCAGCCTCATGCTCTTAACCTTCCAGGTAGAGGACTTGAAGTCTCAACTGGTAACCCAGGATGACTCCCACAGGCTGGTGAAACAAGAGATTCAAGAGAAGATGAAAGAGGCTCAGGAATGTAGCCGGATTCAGAAGGAACTCGAGAAAGAGAAAGCCAGGTAAGCTAGACTGCCAGAGGGGTGCCTTGCCTTCTATGTCATAGTCACAGTGGCATTGACTATGCTGCGTGAGGTTACCTCACCATGTCTCACTCTGGGGTACACATGTAACCATTTGGAGTGGACATGGTCTCAGCTTCAAATCTTATATTTAGAGAAGACCGTTTATGCACCATTCTCTTAGGACAATGTAGTCCCTACTTTAATAGAATTTATATTCTGTGGGGAATTTTTTTTTCCGAGAAAGGGTTTCTCTGTAGCTTTGGAGTCTGTCCTGGAACTCACTCTGCAGACCAGGCTGACCTCGAACTCAGAGATCTGCCTGCCCCTGCCTCCCAAGTTCTGGGATCAAAGGCGTGTGCACCACCACTGCCCATCAGAAATTTTTAATCGAACAATTTTTTAAACAAATGGTTACAGATTATTACATATGGTGTGGAGGAAATAGACAAGGTGATGAGAGAGAGAGAGGGAGGGAGGGGGGCTTTAGAAATATACAAGGAAGTTGTATGGTGGTGCACACCTTTAGTCCCAGCACTCAGGAGGCAGAAGCAAGCAGCTCTCTGAGGCTGGCCAGGTCTACAAAGTGAGTTCCAGGACAGCCAGGGCTACACAGAGAAAACCCTGTCTTTAAAAACAACAACAACAAAAAGATAAAATAAACTGAATACTGGGACTGTTGAGGTGATTCAGCTGGTAAGGATGCTTGGCTGCCAAGCCTGCCCGACCTGAGTTCCATCTTCAGAAGCCACATGATGGAAGGAAAGGACCCAAGCCTGAATGTTGTCCTTTGACCTCCACACGCCCTCTCTACACACAAACAGAATGCTGAAAGACAATGGAGCCACCCTTGCTTAGTAAGAGAAGAAGCCCTGAGGCAAATGAGAGCTTTCAGGGTTTGGTGATGCCAGAGTGCGGTATGGCCAGTATTCACCAAAGTCCATAAAAAGGAGCTTGTAGGTCACATTCAACAGGAAACTGTAAGGATTTCAAGTAAGAGAATCAGCATAATCAGATTTCTAGTGTGTTAGAAGGGATAGTGGTAGCCTGAAACGTGGAGTGGCATGAGCCCATTCAGAGTGGGGGACAGCATGCACTCAGTGTCCTAGGGACCTGAGAAGGGATGATCTTTTCAGTAGTGACAACTGAGTCCTAAAGACAAGTCAGGAGGTGGGACCAGGTGTCCAAGTGAGAGTTAGCGACTGCATGCGCCATGGCAAGTAGGAGAGGGAAGAAGAGAGGAACTTGAGATGCGTTATGGCTTAAGACAATTACAGATTGGATGTGGGTAGGATGAAGGGAGAACCGAAATGTTGGTGACTTCCATGCTGTGACACTGTAGATGAAAGAGCCATTCACAGAGCCAGGGTACAGAGTGAGAGATGGTTGGGTGGAGAATTGGGGACGCACAGGAATGGGAAACTTGGATATAATGAATTTAAAATGTGTGCATATATTTGTGGGATATACCAAAGAATAAACTTGAGCGAAATGAGTCCTTAGGTATTCAATAAACAGTACTTCTTACTGACCCTCTGGTCACCATCATGGCTTCTGTTTTAACAAGCAATGCTGATTAGAACAGTCCAATGACGTGCACTCTCACCCCGAGAGAATGACCTCTCTCTCCCACCTCTGTTTTCAGCCTGGCACTGTCGCTGGTGGAAAAGGAAGGAAGACTCCTCGTTTTACAAGAAGCTGACTCTGTTCGACAGCAGGAGCTGAATTCCCTGCGTCAGGACATACAGGAGGCCCAGGAAGGACAGAGAGAGCTCGGTGTACAGGTGCCCCACTATGCCTGAGCCCTGCTTTCTGGAGAAGATGCTCTTAGAGGGGCTGGGTGAATTGTTTTTGGTTTTTCTAAGAATAATATAGACTGGGACCTCAGCATCCCTGCCAGAAGGTGAAAAGCAGGGCTGGGCACCAGGGGCTCTGGAACCTGACCCAGAGATGAGCTCTGTCCCATGTGGGGAGCCTGACTGGCACCCTGGACAGAGTGTTCAAAGCATGCCCATGTGAGCCTGATTCATGCACAGTAACTTGCAAATGTGCTTTATCTGCTTGGCAAAATGCAGCAGGGGGAACCTGGAGGGTAAACACAAGCAAGAGGCCTTCCATACTGTTTGTTCACTGGCCCGGACCTGAGCCTGGAGGAGAGATAGAGTTGGGAAGGGGCTCAGACCTGCCTAACAGTCTTCATGCAGTCTGACCAGCTCCAGGTCAAGGTTTCAGGGCAGAGTTCTAATCACAGCAGGGGCTGGCATATCTGTCTGCCTGGGAGCAGGGCCAGGCCTGTAGTGTAGCCTGGGCCCTTGTCTCTGGTGTTGGCCACCCCAGTTGCCAGAACTACTCACTTCAGGGCCCTTCCTTCCGGCTGCAGAGCTGAGCCCACTGGACTTCTCCCCGTCTGGGGTCCTGATGGAACTTGCTCAGGGTGTCTCCTTCCTCCTGGCAGGTGGAGCTCCTGAGGCAGGAGGTGAAGGAAAAGGAGGCTGACTTTGTGGCCCGGGAAGCACAGCTGCTAGAGGAGCTGGAGGCCTCACGAATCACAGAGCAGGAGCTGCGAGCTTCTTTGTGGGCCCAGGAGACCAAGGCAACCCAACTGCAGCTGCAGCTGCGCAGCACTGAGAGCCAGCTGGAGGTACTGGCTGCAAAACAGCAGCCAGAGAACCAGGCCCAGGCCCAGCTGGCTAGCCTTTACTCTGTTCTGCAGCAGGCCCTGGGGTCTGCGTGTGAAAGCCGACCTGAGCTGAGGGGTGGGGGCGACTCTGCTCCCTCCCTCTGGGGCCCTGAGCCAGGTGAGGAAGCCAGATGAGAGCTAAGTCTTGTGGGTCAAAGCCCAGGAAAAGGGAAGGGAATGGAGTTCCTGTTGTAAAATAACATCCAGGTTAAGGCCATGGATGCTGCAGCTGATTCTAAGGTATCTCGAACACCAGTCTGTTTGGTAGCAGGCAAGCCACCTAACTTCTCTGAACTTGATTTTTCTTGATTATGAAATGAAAGTGTTAAAAGTCCTATCTTAGAATTTGCCAAATGTAGGGTACCTGCCTGTAACCCTAGCACTAAGTTCCACCAGCCTGAGCTACATAGTCAATTGCTTGGGGTTGGGGTTGGGATAGGAGGATTAAGAGTGCAGAGTCATCCACAGGTACCTAGTAAATTACAGGCCAGCCTAGACTACATAAATCCTGTCTTTAAAAAAATGAGGCTAGGTGTGGTGATGTAAAGCCTTTAATCCCAGCACTCAGGAGGCAGAGGCAGGCGGATCTCTGTGAGTTTGAGGCCAGCCTGGTCTACAAAGCGAGTTCCAGGATAGTCATGGCTATTACACAGAGAAACCCAGTCTGGAAAAAAAAAAGATAAAAAATTTTTACAGCTTGCACTTTGGAGCATAGCAGCCAACAGCCAGCATTTTCTAATGCAGCAGTTCTCCACCTGTGGGTTGAGATCCCTTTGGGGTTGAATGACCCTTTCACATATCTGCATATATTCTGTATACCCGATCCTTACATCACAATTCATAACAGTAGCTCAATTATAATTATAAAGTAGCAACAAAATAATTGTATGGTTGGGGTCACTGCAGCATGAGGAACTGTATTACGGGGTCGTAGTATTGGGAAGGCTGAAAAACACTGCTTTAATAGAAAGTGTAGGAATGAACCTTCTAGAATGGATTCTTTGGAGAGAGGGGAGCCAGCAGGAGGGCCAAGGCTCTGTCTGGGGAGGAATGGCTGCTGCTTATTGTGGCAGCCAGGTGAGAAGAGTTTTCCTCTTTTCTTCAGATCAGATTGGAGCTAGGAGACCCTTTAAGAGAGGTCCCCTCCTGACCGCACTGTCAGCGGAGACTGTAGCGTTGGCTCTCCAGAAGCTTCATCAAGACCTGAGGAAGGCTCAGCAGGCCCGGGTATGTCCTCTGCCCTCCTCCCTTTTCTGGAGTTCCCCTGAGACCCCCAATCAGACTTGTAAATAGAGGGAGATGGGTCAAAGGTTACTCATCCCAATCTCAGCCCCCCCCCCCCCATCCCTCCTGTATCAATTACTGGCCTGCAAACGTAACTAAGCATTTGGATTTCCTGGGCCTTGTTTTCACTTGAAAAGTAGGGCAATCAATGCTTCCCCTTCCACCGCCATCACACTCCTCCATCCCAGTTGCTGTGAGTGGGAACCCTGAAGGAGCTCTGAGAACTGTAAACCCTTCAACACAACACATGGGTTTATCTTGTATCATTTCTTATCATCCGAGAATTTCTTCTTAGTACCAGAACCTCTGAGAAAAGGCAGGTAAGCTGGGGCGTACTGAAATTGGAGGTCACCATTTACAAGAATATTCTAGACTTAAGACTGAGCCAACTCCGCCTCACTATGCACTTGAGAGTGCCTGTGCACCAGCCACTCAGGGCTGGTGATACAGAAACATAAAGACCCAATCCGCCTTCAAGAAGCCCTCCATAGTGGAGCCCAAGCTTCATTCTGTGGAGCTGACAGAAGGACTGGCTCAGACAGACATAGCTCAGCCTGCTGGGACTGGGAGAGTGTCAGGGGAAGAGGTGACTGTGTTCCCAACTGTGAAGGAGGCTCTTGGGAGACAAGGAGTGTGGCCTGGAATAGGACACTGAGCAGTTGTTCAAAAGAAATAATCCAGGTGTAGTGGCACATGCCTGTGGTCCCAGCACTCAGGAGGCTGAGGCAGGAGGATTGAGAACTTGAGACTAGCCTGAGTTATATATTGAGACCTTGTCTTCTCCCCAAAAATAAAATAAAAATAAAAGATTTGGGCAGATACCAGGTGTGGGGCCTCAAGTGTCTGTAATCCCAGCACTTGGGAGGTAGAGGCAAGATGATGATCAGGAGTTCAAGACCAGTCTAAATTTTTGTAGTCACTTTAAGATCAGCCCAGGCGCCGGGCAGTGGTGGCGCACACCTTTAATTTCAGCACTCGGGAGGCAGAGGCAGGCGGATCTCTGTGAGTTCGAGGCCAGCCTGGTCTACAAGAGCTAGTTCCAGGACAGCCTCCAAAGCCACAGAGAAACCCTGTCTTGAAAAACCAAAAAGAAAAAAAAAAAAAAAAAAGATCAGCCCAGGCTATATGAGACTGCCTGAAATAACAACAAAAACATGGGTCCAAGGGGTGCCCCTCAGGTTCACCCCGATTCTGGGAACTAAATGCATAAGAGTTTAGAGCAATGATTCTCAACCTGTGTGTCGAAACCCCTTTGGGTATTGAGCGACCCTTTCACAAGGGTCGAATACCAGATATCCTGCATATTAGGTTTTTACATTACAATTTATAACAGTAGCAAAATTACAATATCGACAAAAATAATTTTATGGTTGGGGTCACCACACCACGAGGAACTTATTTAAGGGTCACAGTGTTAGGGAGGTTGAGAACTGGTTTAGAGAGTGGGGTAATGATGACAGAGACTGAGGAGTATGGACAGTGTCTGAGCTCCTGAGAGTGTGAGCTCAGCCTCGCCCTTCCTCTCCCAGGATGACCTGAGGGACCAGATCCAGAAGCTGACCCAGCACCTGACTGATACAGAGGCCCAGAAGAGCCAGGTCCACTCAGAGCTGCAGGACCTGCAGAAACAGCTCTCACAGAGCCAGGAAGGTAAGATGCTCAGGGGACCAGGCTGAAAGGAGGCAAGAGCAGGCAGCGGCCAGAACGGGGATATGAGGCCCCTGGGAGGGGTGAGCCTCTTCGACTCGAGTTCCACTGTGCTTGGCTTTTGTGGGCCATATTGGAAGACGGAGTAAGAAGGAACAGACTTGGGAAAATGTCTCTGATAGACGCTGCTACCTGGGCTGCTGTTAGTCTCTGCAGGGAGTTGTTTTTTCACTTAATTTGTGGGGGGGAGGGGGCTTGCCACAGCACACATGGAGGTCTGAAGCAATTTGTGGAAAACAGTTCTTGTCTTCTACCACATAGGTTCCCCAGGGATCCAACTCAAGCAGTCAGTTGTGGTAGTGAGAGCTTTTCCCTTCTGAGCCAGCTCACCAGCCCCGTGCAGAAAAAAAAATTTCAAGCACAAAATCCTGGTGACCCTCGGCCAGAACTATCAAAACATAAAACTATTTATTTCTTTTGTCGTTTATTCCTGTTGTTTATTTTTATCATTTTCCACTATCACCTCAAAATTAGCGTTTGAGGACAAAAGGATTGTAAATATACTCTTGAGAAAGACCAGGAGGGGACTCGGGAAGAGCCCACTGCCATGTCCCTCTGCCGAGGACTTGGAGGGTGGAGGCCACTTGGAAAGGAAAGGAGCCTCAAGGTTAGGGTTAGGGTTAGGAAAGAGCTGAGCCTTTTAGGCACTTGAGAGTTCCCCGAGGTCCATACAAACAGCTGGCTCTGGGTCTTCTTCAGACTTGAGGGCCTCTAGGAACCACCTCCAAACTCATAGAATTGGGGCTAGAAGGGGCCGCTGCTGTCAGATGGCTCTCGTGTCTGAGAGCTGATCTGAGTACCCCCGAGTGATGAGGATGAGAATGAGGAAGTGATTGGCAGGCTGTGCTGTGCCAGGGCTTGCAGCAGACACAGGTGCAAGGCCAGAAGCAGCTGCTGGCAGAGAAGTGATGACACAGGACACTGGGTGTCATTTTCTCCCCCTTAGCCTTGTTCCCCTTTGATTCTGATCCCTGTCCGCCATCTGCCTCTATACCCTGTATTCTCCCACCTGCAGCCATGCACCTGACTCCAACATCTCTGTTCCTTTCAAAGAGAAATCCAAGTGGGAAGGGAAGCAGAGCTCCCTGGAGTCTGAGCTAAGGGACTTGCAGGAGACTGTGGCATCCTTGCAGAGTCGCCTACGGCAGGCAGAGCTGCAGAAAACAGAAGCTCAGGTAAGTGCTGGTCTGGGGAAGTGCCTCAGGAGTTGTGTTTAGAGTTCAAACCCCTAACCCTTGTCTTAACCTTTCTCTAACCCTAACCCCTGACCCTTTCCATAACCTAACCTTAACCCCTAACCTGTATTCTGCCTCTCAGAAACACCTTGGTCTGTCTGTGCTCTTATGCCTGGCTTCCTTCAACAAGTCTCAAAGTTTCCTGACTGTTCCCACCTTTCCATTATTAAGGTCATAGTGAACCTTTATCTAATTACTTTTCCTTTTTCTTTTTTTTTTTTTTTTTTTTTTTTTTGGTTTTTCGAGACAGGGTTTCTCTGTGGCTTTGGAGGCTGTCCTGGAACTCACTGTGTAGACCAGGCTGGCCTCGAACTCACAGAGATCCTAATTACTTTTTCTGAATTAAGATTAGACTGTTATTCCCTGATGTACAAGATCAGGGTCTAGAAATGCCTCTTTGCACTAGGCTATCTTCCCCTGGACACAGAGGAACTCTGGAAGGTGGTAGGGACCACCTTAAGTGGAATACATCACTTTTTCAGTCCTTGTTAAGAGCTGATCTCTGATGTTGTCACAAAATAAGAGGCTAGTGTTAAAGTGACAGTATCAAGAAAATAATCTTGGCCAGGCAGTGGTAGCACACACTTTTAATCCCAACAGGCAGGCCGATCTCTTGAGTTTGAGGCCAGCGTGGTCTACAGAGTTCTAGGATGGCTATGGCTACACTGAAAAACCCTGTCTTGAAAGACCAAACTAAAAAGGAATAATCTTATCTTAAAGCCTTTTGCCTCTTGTTTCCAGAATGAGCGAGAGTTGCTTCAGGCATCCAAGGAGAAGCTGACAACCCAGGTTGAACGTCTGCAAGCATGTGTTGCAGAAGCCCAGGCTCAAGCAAGTGCAGCCTGTGTCCTGGAAGAAGATCTGCGAACAGCTCGCTCAGCGCTAAAACTGAAAAATGAGGAGGTAGAGAGCGAGCGGGAGAGAGCCCAGGCTTTGCAAGAGCAAGGTGAGCTAAAGGTGGCCCAGGGGAAAGCTTTGCAGGAGAATCTAACCCTGCTGGCCCAGACCCTGTCTAACAGAGAACGGGAGGTGGAGACACTACAGGCTGAGGTCCAGGAGCTGCAGAAGCAGCGGGAAATGCAGAGGGCAGCTCTGGAGCTGCTTTCCCTGGACCTGAAGCAGCGGAGCCAAGAGGTAGACCTGCAGCAAGGACAGATTGAGGAGCTGGAGAAGTGCAGGTCCGTCTTAGAGCACCTGCCCATGGCCGTCCAGGAGCAGGAGCAGCAGCTGAGTGCGCAGCGGGACCAGATCCGAGACCTGGAGAAAGACCGGGAGGCCCAGCGGAGTGTCTTGGAGCATCAGCTCCTGGACCTGGAGAAGAAGGCTCAGGTGATTGAGTCCCAGCGGGGACAGATTCAGGACCTGAAAAAGCAGCTGGTGACACTGGAGTGCCTGGCCCTGGAACTGGAAGAAAGCCAACACAAAGTGGAGAGCCAGCAGCAGGTGATTGCAGAGCTGGAGAGCCAGAGGGAGATGCAGAGGGTGGCACTAACTCACCTCACACTGGACCTGGAAGAGAGGAGCCAGCACCTGCAGGCACAAAGCAGCCAGCTCCACGAGCTGGAAAGCCAAGGCACCCATCTGGCGAGAGAGCTGCAGGAGAGAGACCAGGAGGTGACGGCTCAGCGCCAGCAGATTGAGGAGCTGCAGAAGCAGAAGGAGCAGCTGACTCAGGACCTGGCAAGGAAAGGCCAGGAGCTGATGCTGCAGAAGGAGAGGATTCAGGTCCTGGAAGACCAGAGGACGCTGCAGACCAAGATTTTAGAGGAGGACCTGGAGCAGATCAAGCATTCCTTGAGAGAGCGCGGCCAGGAGCTGGCCTCTCAGCGGCAGGGGATGCACGAGCGGGCGGACGATGTGAAGAGCCCGAGTAAAGCCCAGCGCGGGAGCCTGGAACACTTGAAACTGATTCTGCGAGAGAAGGAGAAGGAGGTGGAGTGCCAGCAGGAGCGCATCCGGGAACTTGAGGAGCACACGGGCCAGCTGGAGCAGCAGCTCCAAGGCCTGCACAGGAAGATGGCTGAGACTGGCCTGCTCCTGACCCACCGAGAGCAGGAGGTGGCAACCCTGCAGCGGCACCTCCAGGAGGCCAAGGAGCAAGGGGGGCAGAAGGAGCAGGCACTCCAGGGTCAGCTGGGGGAGGCCCAGAGAGCTCTGGCCCAGAGGGACCAGGACCTGCAGGCCCTTCAGCAGGGACAGCAGCAGGCCCTGGCCCAGGAGGAAAGCATGAAGCAAAAGGCAGGTGCTCTGCAGGCTGCCCTGGAGCAGGCCCAGGCGACACTGAGGGAGCGGCAGGGGGAGCTGGAAGAGCACAGGCAGCAAGTGCAGAGGCTCCAGGAAGAGCTGGCCATGGGGGCGCGGCAGGTGGGGGCCCTGGAGGAGGTTTTGGGAGACCTAAGGGCTGAGGCTCGGGAACACGAGAAGGCTGTGCTGGCCCTTCAACAGCGGTGTGCTGAGCAGGCACAGGAGCATGAGGCGGAAGCCAGGGCCCTGCAGGACAGCTGGCTGAAGGCCCAGGCCACACTCACAGAACAAGAACAAGAGCTAGCGGCTCTGCGGGCAGAGAATCAGTATTCCCGCCACCAGGAGGAGGCTGCTTGGGGCCAGGCGGAGGCTCTGCAGGAGGCCCTCAGCAAAGCCCAGGCTGCCCTGCAGGACAAAGAGCAGAGTCTCCTTGAGCAGGCTGAATTGAGCTGCACTCTGGAGGCCAGCACTACCACCTTACAAGCTACCCTGGACAACTGCCAGGCACGTGCCAGACAGCTAGAGGAGGCCCTGAAGATACGAGAAGGTGAGATCCAGGCCCAGGCTGTCCAACACCAGGAGGTTATGCAGCAGCTTCAGCAGGCCCTTTCCCAGAAGGAAGAAAAGTTGAGGCAGCAGGAGGAGCAGGGGCAGCTGCTGGAAGAGGCTCTGGCCCAGAGGAGTCAAGAAAATGGGATCCAAGAAAAGCAAAGTCTAGAGCAAGAGAGAGAAGAGGAGACAGGGGCCCTAGTGGAGAGCCTAAGGGAGCTACAACTGACTCTAGCCCGAAAGGAAGAAGAGATTTTGATGCTGAAGGAGGCCCAGCAAAGGCAGAGTCTAGAGACCTTTTCCCCAAGCCACAGAGCCTTCCCAGCAGAGAAGCCAGCTCCACAATTGTCCCAGGAATTGGAACGACTGCAGAATGCCCTGAGGCAGACAGAGGCCAGGGAGATCGAGTGGAGGGAGAAGGCTCAGGACTTGGCACTGTCCCTGGCCCAGAGCAAGGCCAGCATCAGCAGTCTGCAGGAGATTGCCATGTTTCTACAAGCCTCTGTCCTAGAGCGGGAATCAGAACAACAAAGGCTGCAGGTGAGTCACTACGAAGGGCAGGGGGCAGAGTTCACTAGCTGAGCTCAAGGGCTGCTTGCTTGTGGTACCTCAGAGAGTGAGAAAGTGGAGGTGGTGAGCCCCACCATACCTCAGAGCTAGCGGAACAGATGAGCAGCCATAAACAGTGGGGTCTATGCCTGACAAAGGAAATTCAATGTGCTCCAAACTCACAGGGACACCCAGACTTCCCAAGGATGGTACCAAATGGCTTCCTGGTAAAAGTGGTATTTAGGTTAGGTTAGAGGGGACTGGTAGGGAATTAGCCAGACACCATGCAGGTGCGACTTTCTTGGGGGAAGGCAGAGGAAACTCCAGGAAGGAACATGCAGGGGACATAGAGGGCATTGGCAAGAGACAAGAAGAGGCTAGCAGAAACTATAGCATCCAGAGCTCCTAAGGACTGGGTCACTAGTGGGAAGTGGGTAGAAGATGTAGAAGAGTTTCAGAATAGCTGCTCGGGACGCACGTGGAGCGACAGCAGACTTGGGAAGACAGCAGGGGACTATGGAAGTCCAGGGAGAGGTGCAGACTTGGGGTGGCAAATGTGAATAAAGAAAGGACAAAGGCAGCACCAGGAATCTGCCCCCTGAGATGAAGAAAAGCAGGGTGAGGAGGTCAGCTTGGTTGGAAGTAGAACGAGGCACATGGGGGACACAAGGGGACATTCCAGCAGGCAGCTCAGTGAAGGGCCTGTAGGGAGAGGAGTGTGGAGCTCAGGGCGGTGGTAGGCAAGATGTGGCCTTGAAAGTAAGAGGTTGGTTGTAGACGGTGGTTCTCAACCTGTGGGTCAAACAACCCTTTCACACGGGTTGCCTAAGACCATCAGAAATATCAGATATTATGATTCATAACAGTAGCAAAATTACAGTTATGAAGTAGCAACAAAAATAAATTTGTGGTTGGGGGTCACCACAACATGAGGAACTGTATTTAAGGGTTGTAGCATTAGGAAAACTGAGAACCACTGATGATAAACCTTAGTGTACAACATTTAACTGGAGGTCAAGCTCCATGCCTTAGTTGTCTTCATACCCCCAACCCTGAGCCCAAGACCCAGACTGGCATTAGAGTGAGCTGCCGGGGAGCTGGGTTCCCTGCTCACCACAAACAAACATGGCTCTTTCTCCAAGACAAGCTTAATCCACTTCTCCAAGAAAACTAGTTCTGAGTTTTGATCTTTTGAACTCCAGAGCACAAAACCGGTTCTCTCACCCCAGACACACAACTCCTGGGGCCTCCTCTCTTTCTGGGGACTCACAAAGCTCTGGCCTGGTAAAAAGGGTGCTTGTGAAGAAGGAATTACACTGACAGAATTGGGGGTTGGGTTCCTGGGTTTGAAATAGGTTCTGTAATTTAGTGGCTGTTAACTATTTTCACTTTTCAAGACTGCACTTCTTTTTTTTCCATTTTCTTTTCCTTTTTTTGTTTTTTGTTTGTTTGTTTGTTTATTTGTTTGTTTGTTTTTCAAGACAGTGTTTCTCTGTAGCTCTGACTGATCTGGAACTCGCTCTGTAGAGCAGGCTGACTGGCCTGCCTCTGCCTCCTGAGTGTTGGGATTAGGTGTGCACCACACCTGGATATGTGGGGAATGATGGTTTCAGTGAGCTGTGTGTAGCAAGTGCTTTTTAACATTTATCTATTTGAGGCACATGTGTAGAGGTCAGACGACAGCCTGCAAGAGTTGGATCTCTCCTTTCACTGTGTGGGTCCCCAGGATTGAACTAAGATCATCAGGCTAAGTGACAAGCATCTTCCTGGCCATGGAACTCATCCTATTTATGGACCCATCTTGTGGCCTAGCAAAAGGGAGTCATGTCTCTGGGCATGAGGATACTTCCTAGGCTTGCTCTCAGGTTACTGAGTGGTCTCTAGATAACATAACAAGGATCAGAGGCAGCGCTTTGTGGTGGTCATGCTTTTGGTGTTGTTTTTGTTTTTTCGTTTTTTGAGACAGGGTTTCTCTGTGTAACAGTCCTGACTGTCTTGGAACTCTCTCTGTAGACCAGGCTGGCCTTGAACTCACACCATGTGTGTGTAGGTGCCTTTGCAAGCCAGAAGAGGATGTTGGATTCCCTGCAGCTGGAGTTAGAGGCAGTTGTGAGCCATGCCATGTGGGTGCTGAAAACCAAATTTGGGTCCTCCAGGGGGGAAAAAAATAGCAAGTTCTCTTTATCACTTACATTTTATATATTTTAAACATTTTTGCATGCCAGGTTCCATTGTACTCATTTTTTCACTTCCCTCAAAGAAGGAACTGATATTGTGTCCATTTTATAGTTGAAAAGTAGCAGTGAGAGACTTGAGCTTATCCTAAGTCTGGTTGAAGTGGTTAGCTCTGACAGTCTGAATAGAACTCAGGGCTAGACCATTTGGCTCTTCCTTTCTCTGTGAACCTGTCATACCACACAAACACACACACACACACACACACACACACACACACCACCACCACCACCACCACCACCACCACCACCAGTCACACCAACATCACACACTCTCACATCCGGCTACCCTTTGAAGAGGGTAGAAGATGAGATAATTTTGGACATGAGTTTGGCATAGTATGATTTTTGTCCCTCTCTCTGTACCCTAGGAGGAGTTGGTGCTTAGCAGACAGGCTCTGGAGGAGCAGCAGTCACATGGCCTACATTCAACCAGCAGCGCAGACCAGGGGCCCAACGCTGGACAAGACATGCAGCCGGGAAAGGTGAGCTGGGCCTGGTAGCATAGGAGGAGCCCTGTCGACAGCATGTTCCTTCCTTTGCCCTCTGTCTCTTCCCCCTGTCTGTTGGGATGCCCAGGTGAGCAGCATGGGTCTTCCTTGCAGGTAGCTGTGGCTGAGCCTAGTCCTGGGGTGGAGGAGAAGGAACAGTGGACGCGAAGGCTTGAACGTCTACAGCAAGCAGTGGCACAGCTGGAATTTGACCGGAGCAAGCTACAGCACCACAATGCGCAGCTGCGGACTACCTTAGAGCAGGTCAGTAACTTCTGCAGCCCACTCTGGGCCCGAAATCTCCACTTCTTGTGGCTTTTCTGAAACAGTTTTATTAAATTACAGCCATGCTTTGTCTGTGGATGCCGACTCGTCATGCTAGGGAGCAGAGTAATTTTGACATGGCGGGATGCGCTCAGGAACAACCCACAGAGCTAGCCTCTGCTCCCGCCGCCTGAGCTAGCCTGTCTTCTTTGTACCAAGAGCCCTTCTTGCACCCTACTGTGTGCCCCCCCAGCCCTGGAGTCTTGCTTCCTATGGCCCTGCGCTCTACACTCACTCCTGCACATGTGCTGGCTCCAGATCAAGACGTGATTTCTCACTTGCATATTGGCAGGTAGAGCGAGAACGGAGGAAGCTGAAGAGGGATTCCATGCGCGCATCCCGAGCAGCGTCACTGGAGATGAGAGAAGCTATGGCTTCATCCCCCGTACAGCAGGTTTTCCTGTTTTCCTCACCCGCCTCTTTCTTCCTGCCGCTACAGAAACTCAACCCTCTGTAGTGCTTATCCCAGGCCACTGTTGCATGTAGAGGCAGCCACTCTATTTCCTCCAGATAGCCCCTTCCGGCTTGATTCTGCCCATAGTCTGTCCTTGCCTTAGGAGGGGGTCCAACGTCAGTGGGTAAGTGCAGCCAGGTATAGTGGCTTCAGACCATTCCCAGGCCAGTGCCTCACAGTCCCCCAGTCATCCAGAGTCCCTGGCATCCAGGGCTGTGCCGTGCTCACCAGCTCTTGACATGCCCAGGAGTTTGGCCACAGCTTTGTGTCTAAGAGCCCCTTGGTTCTGAGTTTACAAAGCTAGGGTTCTGATGTGTCCTTGCACAGAGCCCATTCTCAGGGGGCATTTGCCCTTTTAAACCATCACCACTTGAGGTAAACTGTGCCCATCAGCATGGCAGGAGGAACTTCTTCCGGTCCTGAACATCTCCAGCTTCAGCCCACTTCCTTTAATGAGCCTTTCCCAAGGGCAGATACTATCTTTCTTCCCCTTCAGCCCAAGGCTGCCACAAAACAGATCCCTTATGTGAAATAAAAAAAATTCCTCACAGGAGATGCTGCCCATGGTGCTGCTGTGGGGCCCTCTTGGGCCTTCCCTCTGCCTGGAGCCATGCCCTTAGCGCTCCAGTCTGGGTTCAGGTACTCCTGGCCCTCAGATGTTGCCTAGACCCCTGGGAGTGGGATGAAGAGGTCAGCTCTGCCTGCTCCACAGACAGACCTCCCGGAAGCATCTCTGGCCTTGGAGTAGAGGCAGAGGTAGGGTGCTGTGGAAACTCCAGAGCAGGACAGCCCATTCTAACAGGAGCCATATCTGTTTTCCTTAGGATGGAAGAGGAGGTCAGAGGGATTCCTCGGATAGCATGCGTGTGGCTGAGCTTCAGAGAGAGGTATGTTCTGGAAGGATCCATTTCCTATTCCCTTTTCCCTCACTGTACTCAGGCCACAAGGTTCAGTATCTGCATGTCCAGCAGGAGAAGGGAAGCAGCTTTGGCACTCAGAGAATTTCCATCTCCATAGGAGACAAACAGTGCTCCAGTCCCAACTCCACCTGTGTGGGCAGGAAGTCCAGGGAAAGGAGACGCAGAGGGTCCAGGGCAGAACGGGGCCAGCAGCGCTGGCTGGCCTGGCCCTCCGCTGTAGGCAGCACTGTGGACAAGCACACTAGGCAGAGGCACTCGGGCACCGCCAGACAAGCTGCCACACTCAGGAAACTAATTTAATGTCCCACAAGCTCTTTCTCCTCCTTCCTGCTCCCTACACCTTTCTCCCTATCCCACCTAGGAGTAATGAGAAGTGTAGGTTTGACTTCCGAGCCTCTCTCAGAATCAGTAATTGTTGTTGGCAGCCTGACTCCCCCAGTACTTGGGCTGTGCTTTGTAGTCTGTTAAATTTCTGTGAAGCCCCTGACGCAGAGTCTGAGGCAAGAGAGGCCTTGGGACTTGTGTTTCCTGGTGTACTCCCTTAAAGCTGCCCTCACCCTAGTCCCGAGACTCCAGTCACTCTTGTCTGCCTATCTCACTCTTCCAATCTGAGGAATGGAAAGTTTAGTTGGTGATTCTCAGCCTTGGCCATACGTTAGAGTATGTGCCACCTGGGGGAGGAGTTTTGAAAAAGATACCAATACCTGGGCCTCACACCATTGTAGCTAAGTTGAAATGTTTCCTCCCAAAACATATGTGTACCTGATCAAAATAGTTATGTCTAGGCATATCCATTATCAAAATTAAAACTGTGGGCATTTGATCAAATACAAAAATTTCCTTCAGAATGGTTGATGAGACGCTAGAGAGATAGCTCAGTGTTCTTACAGAGGACCCAGGTTCAGTTCCCATCACCAACATGGTGGCTTACAACCATCCTGAACTCCAGTTTCAGGAGATCTCATGACCTTTTCTGACCTCTGTAGGCACCAGACACACATGGTGTACATACATGCAGGCAAAACAGTTGTACATTTTTAAGTAAATCTTTTAAAAATTCAAGTTGCTGAGTTTTATTGATGCTTGTAGCTCCCCCCGCGTCACCGGTTGTCCTAGTTTCATTGATAAATACCCTGACAACAGCAACGTACAGGAAAGAGAGCGGTTTTTTAACTCACACAATTCCAGGTACCAGTCCATCGTAGCAGGGAAGGCAAGGCTGCCAGAACTTAAAGCAGCTAGCTACTCACAGCACAGTCAGCAGCTGAGAGTGAATGCATGCATGCCTGTTACTTAGATCACTACAGTCCAGGACTCAAAGCCAAGGAATGGAACCACCAGCACAAACAAACTGGGTCTTCCCACATTGTTTATGTAGACAAAGCAGTCCCTCACAGACATGCCCAGGCCAACCTGATGTACCGTCATTACTGTGGAGCCAGTGTTGGGAATCAGTGGATTTGGAGTTCATGTGACCCTTATTCCAACTCTAGTGCTTGATCCTGAGGTTCAGATATGTAGCAATTGATCCCAGAGTGGAGCCATAAGCCACGAGAGCACAGAAGGACCAGGACAGCCTCAGAGCCTTCAACTGTTCTCCTTGGTTTTCTGTCTACCAGGTGGCCCAGCTGCGAGCCCAGTTGGCGTTGGAGCGAAAGCAGAGACAGGACTACATTGCGCGATCTGTGCAGACCAGCCGCGAGCTGGCAGGCCTGCGTCACAGCCTGTCTCACTCCCTCCTCACAGTGGCCCAGGACCCCGAGGCCACGGTTCTGGAGGCTGAGACCCGAAAGCTGGATGAGTCCCTGAGTCAGAGTCTGACATCCCCAGGGCCGCTCCTGCTACATCCTAGTCTGGACGCTGCTCAAACTACCCCCAGGTAGCAGCTATAGCCAGGGCAGAACATAGGCCAGCGAGGTGGTACACATTGGACAACTGCTACAGGTTTGCCAAAGGCAAGATTTAGCTCTGCTACCCAACTAGGAGGCCCAGGTCAGCTGACAGTCCCAGGAAGAAAATGGAGAGGTCACAGTTCCCATGGGAATGAGGCAAATCACATTTGCTTGCTAACCCCCTGTTACCCAAGAAGTGCCTTGCCCTGACTATGGGGTATCTATTGTCTTTCTGCCTGTTGGAGCAACCACAGTCTACACTGAGCCTGAAGGCCCTGCTGGCACCAGCAGCACGTAGGTACTTGGTCCTGGGCAGGAGCACCCTCAATGCATCTAGTGCAGGGAGTGACCACTGCCTTCTTGGCTTCGGTGTATCCCTCACCCTCCCCTTCAGCAGGGAACCCCAGGCTTCTGCATTCGTGCTTGGCTGCTGTCTCCACTTCTGGAGATGGGCAGAAGCAGGACATCAAGAGAATTTAGGAACATACTGTATGGTATGCTGTCTAACTGGGAAGGTTCCAGAGGAAAATCCTGGTCCAGCCTCAAGTGTGACTGATAAGAACCATGGAACAAGTCTGGTGAGATGCTGGGCACTTGCTGCCAAGCCTGGCAATATGAGTTCTGTCCTCCATCCCACAAGATGGAAGAAAAACTGCCCTCTGACCTCCACACATGTGCGATAGAACAGGCCCTGCATATGCATATACATGTAAACAAAAAGAGAACCAAGTAACACATTAACGATTCGGAGACACATGAGACATGTAGAGACGTGTACTGTAGAGGTGCCAAGGGAGTGATGGCGTCACCCACTGACCCTTGAGGGATGGAGTTGTTGAGAGTGCTGCTAAACACGTAGTGGGGAACGACTCTATCTGTGGCAAAGGTGGACCAAGGCTAGAGGCTGGATTACAGCAGGCCTCTAGTTCCAACACAAACAGTGACCATCCACTATGTTTCTTTATCTTTACCTAAATCAAGCTCTTTGACTTTTAACCAAAGTCAGCCTTGATTTGAGAAGTTTGTGTGGCTTCTTTCCCCATAACTCAAGGTTGTCTGAATATTCTCACGTGTCCTTCCCTGGTCACATCACCTGGAAGTGACTGCCTCTGAGTCCCACCATGTATCAAGCTGGTCAGCTCAGAAAGGGCCTGGTGGACATAGACTGGAGCTCGCAGGCCTAAGACTTCCTCAAAGCCTGGAAGGGTTAGTGCCCCCACCTTCCTCTCTCTCCTCCTCCTCCTCCTCCTCCTCCTCCTCCTCCTCTCTCTCTTTCTCTCTCTCTCTCTCTCTCTCTCTCTCTCTCTCTCTCCTCTCTCTCTCTCTCCCTTCCTCCCTCTCTCTCCTCTCCCCCCCTCTCCCCCTCCTCTCTCTCCCCTCTCTCTTTCTCTCCTCTCCCTCCCTCCCTCTCTCTGTCTCTCTCTCCCCCTCCTTCCCTTCCTCCCTCTCTCTTTTTTTTTGGTTTTTTGAGACCCTCCCTTCCTCCCTCCCTCTAAGTGTTGGGGATGAAGCTGAAGACAGAAGGGTGCTGGGTGTGAGTTTTACCCCAAGCCATGTCACTGCCCTACAGCAGTTTCTTGTTCCCAGGACTACGCTTGAGCCGAGCAGTGTATGTGCTCACACTTTGTAATTTTGACAGTTAAGTCCTTTACATGTGTGTGCCCCCCCCACACACTGTATGTATGGGTATCCCAATTTCATCTTTTAGTATATGCGTATTTTTCTAGTTCCCTGTACTGAAGAAGCAGTCCCCTCTGAAAACAGTGAAACTAACTTGAGTTTAATCGTGCTACTTGGTGTAAATAGTGTGGGCCAGTGCCTTTTACTGGGGTTACTTATGGGCAAGGGATATTAACAAAAGTAGAAATAACCCAAAGACAGCTACATCACCAAAGCCCACCCCAGCATGGGTGACACTCACAAATGCTGAATACTTGTAGCTTACTCCATAGCTTGCAGGCAGCTCCACGGGCTGGAGACTCTTCCAGGCAGTTCAGTTGATCTCTGCCTCTTCCAGGCAGCTAGGCTTACCTGGGAGTGGCTCTCTGTAGGCCTCACTGCTCATATATGCTCATGGAGTGAAGGGTCTAGTGAACCTGCTCAGTTTCTGGGACTTTTGAAGCTTTTGAGTTGTTCACTTGTGGAGCTATCCTGGAGGATGGGATTTTCACCTCTCCTTAGAACCTCCTGTGTCTTCCTCCAAAGTGAAAGGTTTTGTCTTGTAGGAAAATGCTACATAACACTGGGCAAGGCGGTACACACCTGTAATGCCAGTCCCCAGAAGGCTGAGACAGGAACATCATGAACTCAAGGCCAGCCTAGTCTACAGAACAAGTTTCAAGATAGCCAGAGGCCAAAGCTTATAGGGGTCTGGGAGGGGGGTGTCTGATAGATATAGAGACAGACTGACAGACATTGCCCCTGGGATCTTACCCTTCCTCCCCAGATGCTGTGCTTACAGATAAGAGAACCAGACCAAGATTTTATTCAGTTCCAGACTGATCTCATCATTTTCTTTTGATCTTCACAGTTATGTGGCTGTGGTGATGCTAAAACTCTCCAGCATTCATGTCTCAGCTGGTTGTCATTGTAAATAGCAGCCTTGCTGGCCATCCTAGCTGACAAGCATCTTCCATTTGTGCTTCTCTAGTTCATGCAGACTGGTCCTGTGGGCTGTGGTCTGAGGGTGGCCTAGCATGAGAGCGATGTGCATGTCAGCAGGCTGAATCCTATCCTTTAGCCCTTGTTCCCTCTTTCGTCTAGTGACAGGCTGTTTCTAGAACTGGGAGAGAATAGCGCTTCCCTTCTCTAGGGAAAACAGACTGAACACAGTGCAATAAACACTCTCATAGGCTTACCCTGGGCCTCAAAAAGGCCATCAGCTAGCTGACCTCTGTTATGCCCTGGGGAGGGGATTCCAGACAGAGGGAAGGCCCTGTGAGAAGGCAACTAGAGCACTAGAGCTGACTGCACAAGGGCTGGAGAGGTATCTTGGTTAAGAGCACTCACTGCTCTTGCAGAGGGAACCATCCAGAACTCCATTCTCTGAGGACACCAGGCATGAACATGGTGCCCATACATATATGCAGTCAAAATGCTCCTATACACAAATAATTTTTTAATTGAAGTGTAGAATAGGAGACAGGAAGGCAGGAGTGAGTGAGTATATACACAGAACTTGGACTTCCATGCTGAAGATATCAGGTAATGCAGTGAGTCTGTGCTGACCATGCAGACCAGACCATGAGTTCCAGTATTGGCCACTCACCCTGGTTATCCAGCTAGTTGCCCGTGTAATAGTTGTATCTGGGCTAGCCTGGGTCCCTCCCCACAGCAGATCAGAGCTACATGCACCTTACCTCGTCTTAACTATCTCGTGTCTCTAGAGAAATCAGACTGTCTCCCAAAATCTACAATTGAGAAAGAATTGGAGATGGTGAAATTCTAGAAAGCTCCTGAGACCTAAGAAAATCCCTCATGTCCCCAGCAGGGCAGTACAGACTCCCCACCATTCCTCCCATCTTTTGAAGGGAATTCTCCATACCTCCACATTGACGATATCTAGCACATCTCCATTACCTTGTCACTTGGGGCACCAGCTCTGCAAGCTCTAGGAACCACTGCTGTCTTCAAGAAGGCTGGTAACTGGCATTCCTGGGGCAGATGAAGGGTCCTGTGGTCTGGCTCCTCAAAACTGCCTCAGAGCTGTGGGTGGTGTCCTGACTCATCCTGGGAACAATGGCAGACATTGATAACCCGGGGTAAGCCTGGCCCAGGCCCTGATACCTTTACTCAGTACCTACCTGAAAGCCTTGTAGAATTGGTTGGTATTGCTGAGGCCAGAGTTCCCCAGCATGGCACAGGGCACACAGGGGAAGTCAAAATGGTGCAGGAGGGGCCTGGGAATCACTTCGAATAACTTCTTCCATGTTTTCCCAAGCTTGCTTACTGAGTTCATGCCCTGGTAACAGCAGAAAGAGAAGCAGGGGTCCTGGCATCAGCCATCAGTTCTGGGGGGTGGGGTGGACCAGGGGCCAAGGTTGGAGAAGGGAGAAGCAACCAAGAGAAGAGGTTTGGGATAGGACATGAACTGGGCCTGGAGAGGAAAGTGAGTGGCTCAGGGCCTAGTCCTGACCACTGACCAGCCACCAGAGAGCTTTTGTTCTCCTCAGATACCCCGTGGTCTTCTCGTAACATTCTTCGACCCAGTTCCATTCTCCAGCTGTGTGGGGGCAAGTGGAGCAGTTGGGCGTCCTTGAAAAGCAGCCACATTCCCCAGATTTGAAGCACAGCCCATTACAGTGCTGTGGTAGCATGTATGTCCATTCCTGCTGGGATGCTGATTGGTGTGTCCGATCCAGGTAGGGAGCCATCAGCAACAAGACAAGCCCCCCAAAGACCCAGCAGTACTCCATATCTGGTCCAGACAACGGGTCATGGGACGGGCAGCAGACTGGCTTCTCTACCTGAAAGGACATGGCGCTGAGGCTATGGACAGTGCCAGCATCCCTTCCTGCTGGTCTCCACAGTTCCCCGGCTTTCCTTCCAGCTTCAACCTTCCCCTCCTTTCCGTTTGCTCACCACCAGGGAGCGTTCTCACTGGACCTAGAGAGAAGATGCTAGAACAGACAAGAGAGCATAAGTTTCACCTCAGTGCTCCCTGCAGAAGGAAAGACAGGCTGTCAGTGCCACTCCAGTTGTATCACAGAGCATGACAAAGTCCACATTGTGACCGCTGCCCTGTAGCCTGCCTGGGGGAAGTCTCCAGCCTCTCTTTCTAATGCCCGGAAGTGAGAGCCCAAGGGGCATACACCGTCCTCAGCTCTCTTCCACTAAGATGCCTGAGATCTCTCACCAGAACAAGCCTGAGGCTGAACTTGTGGTTTTCCCTAGAAGCCAAGCCTCGAAAGACTGTTCTGTCAGTAAATGATCCCCCATCCCCTGCTGCTGTGATTTTAGTGATCCTCCAAAATTCTTACTCTCTCCTTTAATTTTTTTTAAATGAACACAAAGTATTCGATATCATTATGGCACTTTCTCTACTTCATTTTTCTGGGTTTATGTTATGACACTCTGTGGCCCCTAATACATACATATATGCACATACTATGGTATCAAAAACTCTTCACTAACAAAGGAAGCAACAGGTTTTTAATTGTTTTACACTTATTTAGTGTGGGGGGGGACACGTACATTCCATGGTGCACGTGTGTGGTGATCACAGGACAGCCTGCAGGAGTCGGTTCTCTCCTACCATGTGAGTTAAGACGCACATGTGTAAATAATTATAAAAACCAAACAGTATACTTCATCTACTAGACAAGAATACTAAATTCATTTCTCTTTGTGCAAAACCAATTGCAGCCTAGCATGCTGGTGCAGCCTTTCTTCCCAGCACTTGGGAAGCAGCAGCAGGCAGATCTCTGAGTTTGAGACCAGTTTGGTCTACATGTGCAGTTCCAGGCCTGTGAGGGCTACACCCTGTCTCAAAACTCATAATTTAAAAAGCTGACTCAGCCAGACAGTGGTGGTACACCTCTTTAATCCCAGCACTCAGAAAGCAGAGACAGATCTCTGTGAGTTCATGGCCAGCCTGGTCTCGAGTTCCAGGACAGGTTCCATAGCTACACAGAGAAACCCAGTGTCAAAAAATAAAGAGCTGGCTCAGTGGGTAAAAGCGCTTGCCACACAAGCCTCAGCACCTGAGCTCCATCCTTTACCTTCAAGACCCGATTTGTCTCGAACCACGGTCTACAGCCTGCTCATACCCACCTCTGTGGCTTGTGGATCAGCTGCCAGGCACTGATACAGAGCTCCTTCCCCAAAGGTTTATGTGTATGGGTGTGCTGCCTATATGTATGTATGTATGTATGTACACCATATGCCTGCAGAAGGGGGTGTTGGCTTCTCGGGAACTGGAAGGACTGACCGTTGAGGGCCACCATGTAGATTCTGGGAATTAATCCCCAGGTCCTCTAAAAAGGTAACAATGATCTTAACTACTGGGTCAACTCAAGCTCCTGTACCCACATTTTTAAATGCAAGTTCCAAGAATCAAACTCAGGTCAAATAGTTTTGTATTCCGTTTTTTCTCAGTTGGACCTCAGAATTTACATTTACAGAACTGATTCCTATATAGGTATTTATTATAGCTCCAGAGTTTTGCCTCTAAGCAGTACCCAGGGTACAGGCCCGGCGTTTGTGGCAGACGCCTTTAATCCCAGCACTTGGGAGGCAGAGGCAGGCGAATCTCTGTGAGTTCGAGGCCAGCCTGGTCTACAGAGCAAGTTCCAGGACAGCCTCCAAAGCAATATAGAGAAACTCTGTCTCGAAAAACAAAAAGCAAAACCAAAAAAAATCCAGGGTATTTTGAGGGCCAGTAGAACAGGGTTCCATTACTGATCAGCTTGTACTTGCGAAAAATGGATGGTAACACCCACTTTTTTTTTTCCCGAGACAGGGATTCAATGTAACAACCTTAGCTGTCCTGGAACTCACTCTGTAGACCAGGCTGGCCTTGCATTCCCAGAGATCTGTCTGTTTCTGCCTTCCGAGTGCTGAAATTAAAGGTGTGAGCCACCATCACCGGACTCCACTTTCTTTTAAAAAGTTTTAAAAATTATATTTACTTATTTGTGCCACGCATTCATGTGGGAGGTCAAAGGACATTTTGCAGGAATCGATTCTCTCCTTCCGCCATGTAGGCCTGGGTATCGAACTCAGGTGATAAGGATTGGCAGCAAGTGCCTTCAGCTGCCGAGCCAACTAGCCAGCTAGTTAATACCCACTCCTCATGGCGCAGATTCTCCTGCCGCAAAGGAAACACCTCGGAGCCACTTCTGGGCTTTCTGATACGGTCGGCGGGAACCAACTATTTGCACATAGAGCCAATTCTAACTGCTGCTGCTGCTGCAGCTGCTGCGGGGGAATGTCGGAAGCGCTGTCCTAACAGGTCCTAAGGTTCCAGAAGAAGCGTTTACCACAGGCGCTGCCACTCAAGCACCGCCCTCTGTTCCCGGCACGCCCACCTCGGGACGCTGCCCAATCCTCGTCAGGGAACGTGACAACGCCCACAGGCCAGACAGCCTGTAAGAGGGCAGGTAAGGGGTGGAGCCCGCGTACGCACTGCTGCGCCGGCGCGAGACAGCGAGGGGGCGTGGCCCAGACCCCAGACCGGAAGCGGGAGGCTAGAGGGGCGGGCCGGCTGGTGTCCCCTTTCCGGCCGGTCCCCATGGAGGCTCTGGGGAAGCTGAAGCAGTTCGATGCCTATCCCAAGACTCTTGAGGACTTCCGGGTTAAGACCTGCGGGGGCGCCACGGGTAGGTCTCGGAGCGGGTGGGGTTGTGGGGAGGGAGCTGTCCCCGCGTTTGGCCCGGGCCGCCGGACTCTCCCTGGCCTGCTGAGGGGTGGGACACAGGCCATTCCAAATCTCGCTCCCGTCCTGCAGTGACCATAGTCAGTGGCCTTCTCATGCTCCTGCTGTTCCTGTCCGAGTTGCAGTATTATCTCACCACCGAGGTAAGGGGCGTGGCCTGGATCGTGGGCGGGGCTCGGCGTTCTAAGGGTAGGACCCTTAAAGCCGTGCTGGGGGTAAGGCCAAATCTGACTGAGGTGGTGTCGCGCCAGGTGCATCCTGAGCTCTACGTGGACAAGTCTCGGGGAGATAAACTGAAGATCAACATCGATGTTCTTTTCCCACACATGCCTTGTGCCTGTGAGTACCCGATTGTAGGTGTGAGTTGGACTCCTGGGTATTCAGGTGGGCTTCCAGATTTACACCTCTGGCTTGAGATCCCGGAGTGGATGCCATGTCATCCTAATTCCCCTAGTCCAGTTCGTCCACGAGATACGTCTTTCCTATCAAAGCTCAGCTCTCCAGGTTCCTGGAGTCAGTGCGTCTGTTTCCAGATTTAAGCATCGATGCCATGGACGTGGCTGGGGAGCAGCAGCTGGATGTGGAGCACAACCTGTTCAAGAAACGGCTAGACAAGGATGGCGTCCCCGTGAGCTCAGAGGCGGAGCGTCACGGTAACCAAGGGAGGGGCTGGTCTCCGTCCCACTGCCTTGTGGAAGTGGGCTGTTGCAGGCTCAGTGATACATTAGACGGAAGTCCGCTGGCTTGCCTAGGGTTCTCCAGCTATACAGAGCCAAGAGTCGGTTGAATCTATGCTTCTCGTATGAGCACATTGAGTGGAATACCTTAGGGGGTGGAGAGATGGCTCAGCGTTTAAGAGCAGAACGCTTTACTTGGTTACCATACTCTCAAACTTGAGCAGGGGTCTTTAGATATCAGCTTGTTGTGCGTTTACTTTCCCAATGTATCAGCTAAAGTACTTTCCCCCTTTGCAGTACAAGCGGCCTAAGGTTAAGAGTTTCCATTCTCAAGTAGAAGTGTCTGGGTTCAAACCCAGCGCTCCCCTGCCGTCACTGAGTATCTGTAAAATAGTGGTGAACAGTAGTACCCCATACATGGGACTAAGGATCGGAGCGGGCAGATGGCTTAGGATGTTCTGAGGGTGTGAGAGCACACTCATACAACCTCTATGCTGCTCTTTCAGCAGAGGAGTCAGTAAGTTATTGGAGATAACTCAGTACTCTGTTAGGAAATAGTTTCTCTGCCAGATGGTTTTGCCCCGCTGTGAGCTGTGTATGTATTCTGAGCGTGTCTAAGGCAGGCTAGACTAAGCTAGATTGTTTAGTACCTTAGATGTACTAAGTGCATTTATTTCAGTTATGATAGCTTATCCACATATAACTCCATCAAAATTGGAGATCACCAATAATGTGTATAAAAGACCTGGTATAGTGCTCACTTTCACTTCCTGTTTCTGAGCAGAGTGTACCTCTATGTAGACCAGGCTGGCCTCAGACTCACAGAGATCCACCTGCCTCTGCCTCCCCAGTGCTGGAATTACTGGTGTGCACCACCACTCCCAGCTCAGACCCATTTTCATAGAGTCTTATTGGAATGAAGTAAGGCTAGATAAAGTGACCCGTAGCTGCTGATATTTAGTGTTTCCTGTTTTCTTTTTTGGTTTTTTTGAAACAGGGTTTCTCTGTATTGTTTTGGAGGCTGTCCTGGAACTTGCTCGGTAGACCAGGCTGGCCTCGAACTCACAGAGATCTGCCTGGCTCTGCCTCCCGAGTGCTGAGATTAAAGGCACGCGCCACCAACACCCGGCTCCTGTTTTCTTATTAATATTTAGTGCATGTAAAGTGCTTAACACCTGACTCATCTTATTAGCTTTTCCTTTTTTTGTTCCCACCCCAGTGGTCAGAGGACTCGTGTGGAAGCTAGGGCTGTAGATGTCACTCTGTCTGCTTCATGTTGTGCTTTTGTCTCTGCCCTCTCCTTAGAACTTGGGAAAGTTGAGGTGACAGTGTTTGACCCAGACTCCCTGGACCCCAATCGCTGTGAGAGCTGCTATGGTGCTGAGTCAGAGGATATCAAGTGAGCCAAGCCCTGGGCATGGGGTAGATTCTTATCAGTCACTGTGCTTAGCCAGCCGCAGCCTTGTTCAGACTGGGGAGATGGGACTGAGAATTTACTGGGGGTAGGATGTATGCCCCGTTACTGACCCTGGTTCAAACGATGAAGGTTAATAAGCAGGCCTGGCCTGACAGCTACAGACCTAGGCACACGGCATGAGTGGCAGGTTGCTGCTCGTCAGCCTAGAGAAGCAGTTTGAAGGTTGTCTTTGTCTTCAGTTATCCCTGTCCTCAGTCTGAGCCCTTAGTAACGGAGACTAGCAACGCCTTCCTTGGAAAAGTCATATAAGGATTGAGTGTATATTGTATGTAAAGCCCTGAAGTACAAAGCCAAAGCTACAAGCCTCTGATATGTGCTAACTGCTGTGTGGTTTCCCAGCCCTGACTCCTAAGAGACTGACTCAACGGGTTTAGGAAGATCTACTTTTTGTAAAGGGAAGAAATTGAGGGAAGTAAGGTTGTTACAGTTGAGTGCCAAACAGGCACAAGGCCCTGGAGTCCACAGGACCACACGCATACAATAACAACAACAATAAAAGTAATATAGTACATGACCACACGCATACAATAACAACAACAATAAAAGTAATATAGTACATGACCACACGCATACAATAACAACAACAATAAAAGTAATATAGTACATGACCACACGCATACAATAACAACAACAATAAAAGTAATATAGTACATGACCACACGCATACAATAACAACAACAATAAAAGTAATATAGTACATGACCACACGCATACAATAACAACAACAATAAAAGTAATATAGTACATGACCACACGCATACAATAACAACAACAATAAAAGTAATATAGTACATGAC